CAGATCATTTGACATTCAGAAAAGAATCAGCTACTTATTGTTCCATTAATTTAACTATAATGGCTTGGAGGACGTGGTGAAAATTTCAGTTTTGGAAGTTTCTTCTGAGTTCTTCACACGAGGTCTTCTTTTGCCACTGCTCTTTTTACAGGAATAATAAATAAGTTGCTTTGGCTGATGCTGCAAATATAGTGTTTGATACTGTAAATGTTCACACTGAGAAGTTCAAGGTCAATGGTGCTCAGAAAAAGATTTTTCTGGAGAATAATGTGAGTATAATGTTCCTAGGCCCATCAGGTGCTGCCCTTTGTGGGCTGGCCCCAGGATAATCCTTCCAGCAGATATTTGGAAACGCAGCCACGTCCATGTAGAGCAGCATTACTTTTTCATTTCAGTATCCAGCTGAACGACTTTCTCTGTGCTTGCAGACGTGGATGAGTGTGCAGAGGGCAGGGCCAGGTGTGCCCATCGCTGTGTGAACACCCCGGGCTCCTTCAGCTGTGCCTGCAGCCCCGGCTTCGAGCTGGGCGCGGACGGGCGGCGCTGCTACCGTAAGTGACCCTGCCAAGCCCTGCTCTTCTTCCTCTCCTCTCTGCTCCCTGCCAGGCCTCACTTCTGATTCTCTGGGATCAGCATCCCCAGCAGAGTAAATGTATGCAAAAGATCAAGCTTAATACTGTTTTCTTCCTCTGCTGCTGCTGGGTTTGCAGGGTGACGCTCTCCTAAGCCTGTGTTCACAGACCTTAATTACTGCCTTTCAAAGAGCAAATAGCCCTGTTGGTTTATCTTCAGAGTCTGGTGGATTCTGCTGCAGAGCTACCAGAATGCTGCTGCTGTTCTGTGAAATGTATTCATTCCTGCCCTCCTCCTCCTCCTCCCAGCTTTCTTACAGAGCTGATGCAAGAGAAAACCAGCACGACGTTCTGCTCGTCTTTACCTGTCTGGGTTTGCTTATGCTTCTCCTGAGATTACTGACACTATTAAGAGGATGCTTTAAAAAAAAAAAAGCAACAAAAAAAGAAAGACTTGGGATGAAAAAATAGTTGAGCAACTCAAACTTCCCAAGCTCAAGCGAGCCCTGTTGTCTTTCCTCACATGCTTACCTCTTGCCAGCGGGGTTTCTTAATCAACACCGCTTTTCTGGAGAGGGGGACTGACTCCCAGTGCTGTTAGCTGATAGGTGATCCCTGGCCTGCCCTTGAGGGCAAATTTAGATTAATAAAGGAGGTGATGTGGAAGAGTTGGGGCTATTATGGACCTAACATAAGCTCCCTGGAATGCAGACAAAAGCATGACCTGTTTTAGCAAAGAGGTGGGCAGAGATCATTCAATCTAATAATACCGTGCAAGAGCTTTCAGCAGAGCTTCCTTAGGAAAATATGCTGCATGCCAGAGAATGAGTGCTTTATTTAAGAATGTGTGTGTAAGAAATAGTTATTAAGAATGAAATTCAGTTTCAAGGCATTAACATACATTAAAAACAAAACCCAATTATGTGAGAGACATCCTGGAGAGTTATTTCATAGGTGATGGGGAGCTGTGAGTGCTGCAATGGCAGAGGAAATGTGATTAATATACAGATATGAAATCTTCTGTCATAGGCATAAAAAAGAGGTTTAGACCACTTAGATTTCATTGTGCTTTTCTGATAATAATTTTTCTGGATGTTCAGCAGATCTCAGGGGATGGTGATTCTCTGTGCCTCATGTACAATATTGCAGAGCAAACAATAAAAATAAAAACATTCTGCATACATTTATGATCAGGATTATCCCAGTGTTTGAGCAATTTAAAATCTTTGTTTATTCTTTCATTTCCCCAGTGGCTGGGGAAGAGCTGGTATTTCAGTTTTACTGATGAAGAGCTGGGACAATGTAAATGATGAAGATCGTGTATGAAGTCAGATTCTGCATTTAATTGCTGGGTTTACTAAATCCCAGCTTAACACACTGGACAGGAGACACGATTTCTTCTCCCTGGTGCAAATAATCACACTATGCATGAGATGTAGAGATATTTATTCTCTTAATTTATACCCTCTTCCAGATGGAATTACATTTCTTGTTGGCAAGCAGGGTGCTCCCTGGGAGCACAGAGAGGGGTAGGACCAGAGCCCACCAGCACAGATGTGTCTGGGGAAATTCTGTGCCAGATCTGATGGCCACTCTGAGCTGGGCTGTTTCTGGAAGTACAGTGGCTCCTTTAGGAAGGTTATTTCTCAGTTTCCCTCTGTAGAAGGAGGAATTATTTCCTCTCTAAATAACTCTGTAACAAAAGCTGGCTAATCTAACTGACCCTGTGGTTTCTTTGCATCCTGGAGGGATCATCTGATGAAGTAGCTGGGTGGGAAGAGGCGGCCAGGTGTTCCCTTTTCCATGTGAGGGTTCCCATTGGAAATGGCCAGGATGTTCTGAGGGCTGTCCAGTGCAGCCACATGAGGAGGGCATGGAAGTCTGTCAGGGCAAAGGAGGCTGGCAGTGGCACTGTCTTTGTCTCCTGTCTTAGCTGTAGGGGACAAAGTCTCAGCAGAGGAGCTGCTGTGTCCCCCCGGAAGGGACATCCAAGAACCAAAACCTGGAGATTGTTTTCCATTGTGGCTGGTGTCCATTTCAGCAGCAGGACTCTGCTGAGGAAGTTTCAATGCCTTTGTGTTTGGGGGATGTTTCAGAACCCAGCTCTTTGCCATTGCCATGCAGAACTCAAAGCTGCTCTTTGGGAAGTGTGTCAGGCGGGGTTGGAGGGCTCCTCAGATCCTTCTGTTCCTCCTTTGAGGCAAGCACTGTTCCAAACAAAGCATAAACCAGAGGAAAGCTGGGAAGGCTCCTGTAGCAGGTGGCTGTTGAACACTGAACCAGCTTCACATGGCTGAATTTGAGAGCATCCACTGTTCTGACACAAGCACCTGGAGCTCAGTGACTCCAAACCTGCTCTGCCGGGGAGGGGCTGTGAGCTGATTACACTGCGATTACACTCATGGCTGCTGTTTTACATCCTTCGGGCTGCCTTTTAACACCCCTCTGATTTATTTCTCTGCAAGGCATCGAGATGGAAATCGTGGACAGCTGCCGGGACGGGAATGGCGGCTGCGAGCACGGCTGCGAGCACACGGCAGCGGGACCACGCTGCTCCTGCCACCGCGGCCACCGCCTCGCTGGGGACGGCAAAACCTGCACAGGTAACCCGAGCTGCCGGCAGGGAGCTGTGGAAGGGCCCGGGGAGCCTGCAGGAAAAGCCGTGCCTTCCCTCCTTCTGCAGGTTTTAATTAACGCCGTCCTCCGGCAGCGCTGCTCCAGCTTGCCTGGCGCTGGGAGCTGGCTGGGATGGGTCCCCAAGGAGGGCAGGGAGTGGCAGTGACACTGCTGCATCACCTGCTGCCATGGCTGTGTCTCGCCATGGGTCCCCAAGGAGGGCAGGGAGTGGCAGTGACACTGCTGCATCACCTGCTGCCATGGCTGTGTCTCGCCGTGGGCAGCCCAAGCATCACAGACCCCACTTTGTGTCCTTTCCCCTCTCAGCTGGTGGCTGGGAGCAGCAGTGCAACTGCTCCCAAAGTGCTTCTTGCACAAACTGCACGTGGTGCTCCAGAGCCTGCTGTGTTTCCATCAGATTTGCTCAGTGATGAGGTTACACTTCTGCCTGTGAGAAGTCTCACTTTGTTGCTTTCACCTCCTGAGTTAGATTTGGGTTTATTTTGAGACACAAGCTTAAAAATTCATTCATATTTTAAGCAATTCTATTATGAGATATTTTTTTGTGTGTGTTTGTTTTATGTTTTTGTTTGTTTATGGCTTTTTGTCATGCAAAATGTATCTCATTCTGCTTTGGGCTTGCTGTCACTATGCCATTACAATTTTTAAGAATAGCCAGGAAGAGAGGGGGAATGGAAAAAGGAACAGGCACCACAGAGCAGTGTAGTGAGATATGAGATGATGAGAAGAGGTAGAGAGTGGGAGCATTGATGAGTGTGAGAGGCATTACAGACAAAAGGAGTCTTGCAAGGAAAAAAAGCCAAGTGCAGGAGAGAGGAGGAGCAGGGGAGGAGGGAAGCACTGAGGACTGCAAGGGCGGGTGATGATGGAGCTTAAAAAGAAAAAAAAAACAACTTTGGGAGGCAGATTTGGAGCCAGAGCCTCACAGGGGTGGGTGGGTTGCACAGTCTTGTCTGTACAGCTGACAGGAGGCAAAGCAGCCTCCTGCCCACATCCCAGCTCAGTAACCTGCTGCTGGGGATTTCAGAGGGAAGCAGATACTCCAGACACAGCAAGGGAAGGGAGAGAGCACAGAGGAAGGCTGAAGACATGAAAAGTTGCTCTTAACAGCAAAAATCTCCTTTTTGTTGGGTGCAGATTTTGCATTCCTGCACAAACAAGGGGCTGATGCTGGAACCCAGAGCGAGGCATCACCTGATGTACTGCAGAGGAGATCAGCTTGTGACATTTCTGGAAAACACTGCCTTCAAATAACCTGCATTAATCATTTTCACACTGACCTCCTCACCTCGATTGATTAATTACATTTTCTTTCTCCTGTCCTTGTTTCCTCATAAAGTTGGTCCTCTTTCCAAGGTTAATTGAGACACTGACCTTTCCCATCTGCAGCTGCTCAGCCAGGCCACGTTCAGAAGCATTTTGCAGACTCAGCATTGACAAGGTGGCCCCTGGATGGCCACTGACCTGCTCAGCAGCCTGACAGCAGCCAGGAGCCTGCAGTGCACAGATAACAGCTCAGCTCTCCTATCTAATCACCAGAACAGTGGTGTCAATGATACCAATTTCTGAGCGGGCACAGAGCAGGAGGAGGCAACAGGAAATCAGTTACCAGAAACTGCAGCTGAGCCTTCCAGGCTGCTGCTGTCCAGCAAGTGCCTGGTTGGATCAGAGCATTGTTAGTTTGCAGTGAATAGGATTGAATGTAAAGCAGGTCTGAATAGTCAAATGTAGGTTACTGTTAAACAGAATGTTTTTGAGGGCTGGTGGGTCCTTGCTGTTGTCTCTTTTCGTAGAGCCATGGAATATTTTGAGTTGGAAGGGACATACAAGGATCATTGAGTCCCATTCCTGGCCCTGCACAGACACCCCAACAATCCCACCCTGTGCATCCCTGGGAGCATTGTCCAAACCTCCCGGAGCTCTGGCAGCCTCAGGGCTGTGCCCATTTCCTGAGGAGCCTGGGCAGCACCCAGCACCCTCTGGGGGAAGAACCTTTTCTGATATCCATCCTAAAACTCTCTGACACAGCTCCAGCCATTCCCTCGAGTCCTGTCCTTGATCCACCAGCAAGACCAGCTGGTGTTTTGTAAATCCCTTCAAGGCAGCTCAGACGTGTAGAGGAGATGCCTCTCCCAGGACGTGGAGGGTCCTGGCTGCTATGGGGGAAGGCAGAAGGCAGCTGCTGCCAGGATTCAGTGTTTATGTGCTTGAAGGAAGGTGTAAAGCAGCGAGTGCTGCAGCACAAAAGCTCTCAGCAGAGCTGTGCAGCAGGCTGGGGGTGTCTCGAGGGCTGAACGTGCTGCCCTTTCCTTGCAGATGTGGACGAGTGCGAGACTGGGGAGTCCTGCTGCTCCCAGTTCTGCATCAACTACGCGGGGGGCTACGAGTGCGCCTGCAAGGCGGGGTTCCAGCTCAGTGCCGACGGCTGCTCCTGCGACGGTGAGCTCTGGGAGAAAGGCTGGGCTGGGCCGGGCTGAAAGGGACCTAGGGGTCGTCTCATTCCACCCCTGCTATGTGCAGGGACACCTCCCGCTATCCCCGGCTGCTCCAAGCCCCGTCCAAGTTGATGTGGAACGCATCCAGGGATGTGGGAGCCGCAGCTTCGCTGGACAGCCAGGGCATTGCCACCCTCACAGGGAAGAATTCCCTCCTAATATCCAGTCTAAACCTTCCCTCTGTTAGTCTAAAGCCATTCCCATTTGTCTTGCATCATTCCATGCCTGTGTCAAAAGACTTTTGGTACCAGTGGCTTGGTCTAACTAATCACAGCCCAGGGCAGAAGAAATGCTGTCAAAGCCCTTTGCAGGGCTTTGTGGGCACTGCCCTGATGAGAGTCACTGATCCTTTGCTGATAAGGTTTTACAAATGTGTACTTTCCACTTTATGAGGCTGGAATACCGGAATAATCCAGCAACCATCATGGGGAAGTGGGGATGTGGGAGAGGAGCCAGCAGAGAGAAACTTTCCCTCCTCTCTCCATGGACACTTTATACTGATGTGTGTTAAAACACTCCTTCCACAAAAAAAGAGCCCTCAAATAACTGAAGGATCAACTGAGCTTAACAGCTTAAAGCATCTGTTTTCACTCGAGACAAAAACATCAGTGAAATAATCTGTTCCCCATTGCCCTGAAATGTTTTCATACCTCCAATACCAGAGAGAAATGGAGAGCCTCAAAACACGTAAGAAAAATTGTGTTTTCTTATGTATAGAATAATTTGTCAGATGCAGCTGGGCACAGCATGGGCTCTCCAAGCAGAAGTACTTGTTCCTAATCACCATTTATGTCTGGATTTTCTAGATGTGGATGAATGTCGTCTGGATAATGGCAACTGTGACCATTTCTGTGTGAATTCCCTGGGGTCCTACGAGTGTGCCTGTAAGGAGGGTTACAGGCTTGGGGATAGCAGATGGGCCTGCGTGGGTGAGTTCTTCTCAAAACTTGAGGGCCATTAAGCACTTCCCACTGATTTAAAAAGTGATTTTTGGAGCGGGGATTTTCACAGATCCTGGGATTTTGGGAGCCCAGCTTGAGCCATCTCTGAACGTGGCCAGGGTAGGGCTACGTGCAGTGCATGGATCCAAGTTCATCCTCCAGTAATGGGTTTTGCCAAAGATTAATGGCAAATGAACACTTAAATCCCTTGGATACATTTGAAAACCTAAAGCTCCTGGTTTAGAAATAAATACTATTTTGACACTTTTCTTGCACTATTTGATGAAGTTTAACATCCTGTGGGGGAAAAAAAGGGTAGCCAGGTTGTTCTTTGATCAACCATGGCAACTTTTCTGTTAGTCAGTGACGTTATTCTGGATTTCTGCCAGTGTAACCAGTCCAGAGTTTAGCAGAGCAACTCAGTTTTATAACCAAGTTTAGCAACTGCTAAACCTTAAGCCAGAGTTTGATATTCTAACCAACACCAAAAAGTAAGCCAACTGATTTCCCGTCATTTTAAGGCCCAGGTTTTAATGTTTCTGAAAATAAATTGCACAGCCGGCCTCACTTTCTATTTGTCATCTCCAAAACGAGCAAGAGTAATGACCTTCATTAACTAAAAATAATCTCAAACTTCAAGTGAGGAAAATGAATCTCCTCATTTAATTTTGATTCTCTGGGAACAGAGTTTTTTTCCAGAGGAAGGAAAAGGGAAAGATGGGGCGGGGAGGGTGTCTCCCATTTTCTCTCTATTTTTTTTTGGATGGGAGAAACTCTGTAAATCGAGATGAGAAAATGCCTGGGCTGGGACTGCTGGGCAGAGGTGTGACTGGAACATCTAAATGCATCATAATAGTAAAAAACGATGCAGATGAGAGGCCGTGGAGGCAGGCTGGGGTGCTGATGGCTGTGTTTGTCCAGCCCTAGGTGTGGAGGAGGCGGATGCAGAGGAGGCAGCAGGGCTGGCTGGAGCCCCGGGGCTGCACTTCCGAGGGCCCCCCCAGCTGCTCCGCTTCGCCCTCGGGGCCCTGGCTGAGGATGGAGACCCCCGAGGAGAGCTCACCCTGGTGCACAGGGTCGGTGAGTGACCAGCAGGGCCCTGAGCCAGCACTGCAACCTGGGGGAATCATCCTGGGAGAGAGGATTTGGGGCTGGGCTGGCGGGACTCGGCATCAGGAGGAGGGATGAGCGTTAATCCTGCATCCTGCCTGTCTCGAGGTTCCATCCCAAATGGGACATGTTTGAGGAGCCAGAAGGCTGCCTGGATGCTTTGGGAGGGAGGGAAGAGTGAGCAGCACAGCAAGCAGTGGCTGGGAGGCTGCTTGGAAAGCAGGATGTCTGCAGAGACCAGGGGCAGCAGCCACAGAGAGCTCTTCATGCCAGGGGTGAGAGGATGGCATGGCTTACTGCAGGGCACTAAATCCCTGGGGAAACTCCCTTCCTCCTAGAGCTGGGAACATGGATCCCTGTTTACAAACCCTTTTATAACAGCTGGAGGCTTTTTGTTAAAGATGTTTGCATTTTGTCTGTGTTAAAAACAATCCTCTGAAGATTCAGGTTTCCCTTGACTCTCTGGGAAAAGCACCAACCTATCCACGTGTTGCTCAGCTCAAGGGGTGGCAAGCAGCACAGGAGCACCCACTGTCACAGGAGTGGGTGCAGAACAGCTTTGCACCCACCTGGGCTTTGCATGATTCAGTCTTTCCACCCAAAGGTGGAAATTTCACAATTTTAAGAGTATTATGAGGTGAAACTCTGTGTTTGCTTAGTGCTGAGTGCTGGTGGATCACCAGGAAGGATTTTTTGGTTTTTCCTACATGTGCCCTGTGATTTTTGTATAAACTCTATAATTACCTATCTGAGGACTGTGCCCTGCAGGCAAAAATCAGGAGCAGGTCTTGACTTTAATAAAAAATTACCTTTTTTTTGTGAACAAAACTGTTAAGACCCTCCCAAATCACACAGCTTCCAGCTGGACTCAACGACACCAATAACCAACTGGGAAACTGATAAATGAGATAACCACAGGCAAAATTATCAGGCCTAGAAACCACAATCAAATATTTATTGACCACTTTTTGCATGTTTTATTTATATTTAGCTACGGAAATTTGGGTATTATCAGTCACAGCTGAGTAGCTGCACTTTTTCTAAGGCTCAGGCTTTGCAGCATGCAGTGGTTTGTATGAAAAGGTGATGGAGAAAAGGAACTTTAAATGGTTTAGTAAGTTCTTTTACCTCCTAAACAGTAATTTATTCCTTGTGATTTCAGACATGGTTTTATTCTGCTATCTGTATTATTAAAAAAGCCTGCTTTAACAGTAAGCTGGTGCAAGTAATTAAATATTTTCTGTAACTTTAATGAATTTTTAAGGTGGAAGCATGATGTTTTCCATGGTGGTCTGTATCCTTCTCCTGAAGTACGAGTTTGTACCCTATTCCAAGTGGGAGCTGGGATTCTGAATGTCCCTGAAAACTTGGGCATTTGTTCAGCTACAGAAAAGGGAACAGTTGGGTGCTCAGACCTAGAGGAAATCTGGCCTCACACAGAAAACTGTTGGTGAAATGCAACCAGCCTGTGACTTACTGAAATAAGGCTGAAATAAGCTGCCAGCTCACTTTCAGGTGCTGTTAAAAATCCCCTTCCAAAAAGCCTCCAGCCACAGCCATTAAGCCTTGAAGGCTCTAAACTGTGTGGAGGGGATCTTCAATGCCACTGAAGTATTTTACCAGTCACTTTATTTTGCATGCCTGTCTCGATATACCCAACAAAAAGAGCATGAGGGTGGCAAGGGATAAAAGGAGGCTGGGGAAGGAGATGGAAAAAATGCATTTTCATATCAGGTTTCCTATATAAAACTCTTCATATCCATGAAGAGAAGAGACATTCCATGAAGAGAAGAGACACAATAAATGTGTATTTTGCTTTGTTTTCTAGAATACTCACACTGTATGGTTGAAAATACCACTGAACTATGTTTAAGTAGCACTACATCCACTTACTGCAATCAAACAACAGGGATAGCCTAGCAAGGAGAGAAGGAAAGTCCCAATAAATTCCTCCAGTTATATACAATATTATCAAGTATTAGGTATTATCAAATTCACTTTTACAGAAGGCAAAACTCTTGCTTTTAAAAAGTAGCTCAAAGTGCTCTTGGCTGGAGAATTACAGCATTTAGGGGAGCAAATTCCAGCTGAACACCCAGCTTTCCTTTCACTTAGAAACACAAAGAGAGAAATTCATGAATGCCCATTTTGCCGTGCCTTTTGTGCCGAACCGGTGGTGTTCACAGCCCAGCCGTGGGTAAGAGCTTGTGGAAACATTTTTGTCCAGCTGCTCACTCATCCCTGTGTGTTTTTTTGCTGTCAGTGTGCCTGGGTGACACGTTTGGCCAGGACTGCAGCCTGAGGTGTGAGGATTGTCTGCACGGGGGCCGCTGCAACAGCGAGCGCAGCGGCTGCGACTGCCCGCCCGGCCGGGCTGGGGTCATCTGCAACGAGAGTGAGTACGGGGGCTGGCAGGGGCTCTGATCCTCCTGCAGGGGCTCTGCTGCTGGGCAATGCCAGGAACCTCTTGTACTTTTCATCTGTGAAGCTCCTGAAGCAGCACAGCTGTCTCATAATCAGATTTGTTGTGCTGGGGCACATTAAATAGGAGCTGTAAGTGATGCCGCGGTACAGCCAGGTCCCTGCACTCCAGTGAAGGTCAGGTCAGAATCATCCCTGTCCTATGTATTTGGTTGTTTTCATTCCTATTTGCTCTGCTGCTAAACGCTGATGGAGTTTGCTGGCCATGCTTTATTCCACAACCTACCTTGGTGACTTCCAGAAGTCTGTCCCAGAAGTTGGTGTGACAGCCTGGGTGGACACATACACTAAAATTGGTCTTTTTCCATTGTAGCCTTTTAAACCTCTTATGTTTTCTATTTCTTTTTCCTTATAATTCTTTTTATTATTAGCATCAATTTCTTGAAGCAGTTAATTTTTCACATTGGAAATGGTATTTTTCAGAATTCTGGTGCCAAGTCAGTGGCCTTTATAACAGGTTTTCACTCTCCTTGCTCCTGTTTCCTGGCAGAAGATCTTTCTGATTCAGAAGTATGTGTCAAAACCCATTGGAAAGAGAGTGGTGATTTCTTGATGTGCTCTTCTTCATCTGCAGTTTGGCAAAACTTGTCTGCTGCTTGTCTGAGACATCATACAGCAGATTTCCTGTTTGAGATGGGTCCCTCCATTTTGTGGTGTGTGACATGATGGCCCATCATTCTCAGAAAGTCTTTGCTGTCACTGGTGAGACAAAAAGTCGATGAAAATTTATTACTTGACATCAGTAGACAGCACTCTTCAGGTTAATTGCCATCAAGATTGTTTAGGAGACGTCATCACATGGACAGAAATGTAGAAAAATCAAGCAAGTGATTGAAACCAGCAGTCTGCCTGTGGTTATTTTGGGAGACTGATGGTGGGTTTGGTTTGTAAACTCTGGGGGCAGCTAAGAGAATAGAAATGGGGAGATTAAAAGGATAATTTCCAGTCTGTCTAAGACAGTTCAATCTATCAAGTGAAGATATTCTTCTGTGCCTGGTGTGCTGGTAGTTCAGGATAGATTGTAAAAATTTCAAGGCAGTATCCAAATTCTTTAGTTCATTTCATAAATAACAACTTTTATGATATATATTTGCACTAGACATCCATGCATGTAGTCTAGTGGAATTCACCTCTGGAATTTAAAGAATTTTAATAGGACTGTGTTATTGAGCTAAACCTGCTGTCTGATGAAGTCAGCAGAGACAGTGATAAATACAATATCTAATCTGTATTAATTACTCATGTGTGATTGCTTTCACTCTTTTCTCTTGCATTTTTTAATATACAGCACAATTCATGGGTTTAGGGTCAGCAGGTTTAGGGCAAACTAAAACAGTGGAGAAAACTGGAGCTAAATTTCTCTAATAATGCACCAAAGAAGCCAAATGGAAATTGATGTGAAATGTCAACTTTCTTAATGTGCATTGATAAAATGTCAGCGAAGTCAGATGACTCCAGCAACTGTATCCACTCAGGCTGCAAACAGCAGAGCAAGGCTGCATCTCACAGTTTGTTTTTGCTGTTGTGGATCCATTGCTGCCATGATTACCTGGGGAGTTTCAGAAACTACACTTGAAAAACAAGATATTATTTTTATAATAGTGTTTGGGAGAGAAAAAAAGAATGTTTAAAATATTTGTCTCCAAGTTTTCAAAGCTGTGCTCTGATGTTTAAGCTTTGGACTTGACAGGCAATGGTTTTTGAGCCCGTGCTTTGTGGGAGGGGAGCATGTGCTGGGGAGGGTTGGATCCATGACAGTACTTCCCAAAGCTTGGTTAATTCAGTGTCCTTTGAGATGTCCTAGTAAATATCAGGTGGATGTGCTTTACAGAAGAATATAATTTTGTTTAGAGCCTACTCAACTAAAAGGACTCTCTCCTTGCTCAGTTTTCACAGAATCACAGAAACAATTAGGCTGGAAAAAACCTATGAGACTGAGTCCAACCTGTAGCCCAACACCACCGTCTCAAGCAGCCCATGGCACTGAGTGCCACATCCAGTCTCTTCTCAAACACCTTCAGGGATGGTGACTCCACTACTTACCAGGGCAACCCCTTCCAATGCCCAATCACTCTTTCTGTGAGGAAATTCCTCCTGATGTCAGACCTGAACCTCCCCTGGTGCAGCTTAAGGCTGTGTCCTCTTGCCCTATTGCTGGCTGCCTGGGAGAGGAGATCAACCCCCACCTGTCTGATCAACCCCCTCCTCTCAGGGAATTGTAGGGAGCAATGAGGTCTCCATGAGTTTTCCAGGCTGAACACCCCCAGCTCCCTCAGCTGCTCCTCACACAACTTGTGTCCCAGACCCTTCATCAGCCTGGATGCCCTTCTCAGTGACCAAAGCCTTGTTTTGCTTCCTTTACAGCACAGGGGAAGGGTTTCTCGCTGTGTTCACGCTCCCTGCTCTCTCCACAGCCTGTCCCCCCGGGACGTTCGGCAGAGGATGTGCCGGTGTCTGCAGGTGCCAGAACGGAGGCTGGTGTGACCCCGGCACAGGGCAGTGCCACTGCCCACCCGGTGTGCTGGGCCAGCTCTGCGAGGACGGTACGGCTCCAGCTCTGCCTCAGCTCTCCACTTCTCCCCCCTTGATCCTTTGTTTTGAGTAATGAGCAGAACAGAGGGTGAGAAAAGCCGGTGGCTGGCGAGGCTGCGCAGAGCCCCAGCTCGGGTTTGGGGCTTTGACCTGTAGCCACTGATGCCTTCCTGTGTTTGTGCACTCCAAAGGTTGCCCAAAAGGTTTCTTTGGGAAGAACTGTAACAAACCATGCAACTGTGCCAACAAGGGCCACTGCCACAGACTGTATGGAGCCTGCCTGTGTGACCCCGGGCTCTACGGCCGCTTCTGCCACCTCAGTAAGTCCCCGGTGGTTTTGAGATCTGATTGATGTGTGCACAGTGTGACAGTGTAAAAGATTCTAAGGGGGCTGGCAGAAAGGAAGGAGAGTGACTTTGTGCACAGTCAGGCAGTGCTAGGATAAGAAGGAATGGATTTGCTAAAAGAGTGAAGGTTTAGCTTAGATGTTAGAAAATTGTTCTTTGCTATGGGGCTGGGAGGCCCTGGCACAGGCTGCTCAGAGAAATTGTGGCTGCTCCACAACCCTGGCAGTGTCCAAGGCCAGGTTGGACAGGGCTTGGAGCACCCTGGGATAGTGGAAGGTGTCCCTGCCCATGGCAGCGGGTAGAAGGAGATGGGCTTTATGGGACCTTCCAACCCAAACCCTTTTGTGGTAAAATGATCAAGACTTTGGGTTCTGCAGTAGTCTGGGAGTAGCAGGACAACAGGAATTTTGAGATGTGCCAAGAAGCCCCAGAAGCTTCATTAATCTTTTTCTCTAGTAATTAACCTTTGCCATAAGGACTGAGATTTACTGATGCACAAAGGTGAGGATTATAGGTGGGGTGAACAGGCTAACCTTAGGGTTGTTGCTGAGGTTGGGATGTGGTTGGAGCTGGTTGGTGACTGCTGATGGGTTGGAGTGGGAGCTGGGGAACAGGGCTGGCTGGGACAGGATGAGGATCAGACATTAGACGGAATAAAAAGAATTAAAACAAAAACTTTGCAAAATAGATGATCGAATTTCTTTGTACTTACTGTTTTTGTTAGTAAAAATCTGTGCAAGATCAAAAATATTTTGTTTTATTTTGTTTTGGGTTTTATTATGAAAGCTTTTGTCTTGGAGTGCACCCAGGTTTTTTTTCACTTGGAAAATCAGCTGAGTTTGCTTTGAAATGTTTCTGGTTCTTGCATTCACCACGTATTGCTTGACATGAAATGAATGACCCAGCACAGGGATCATGTAAACTCTTCTTTTACCCACCCACACATGAACAGGTGCTGCTGTGGAACGGGGGTGGACTGGCTGGAAGCAAAACCGAGCTTTTGCTTCTTGCAGCGGTTGTGTTCTGCAGCAGTGAGCAATTTCAGCCAGCTCCTGCATAATTACAGAGCTGATGCTTCCTTTTCTTCTGGCTGCAGCCTGTCCCAGGTGGGCCTTCGGCGCGGGCTGCTCGGAGGAGTGTCAGTGTGTGAAGGAGCACACGCTGGAGTGCAGCCCCAGGAACGGCTCCTGCACCTGCCAGCCTGGCTATCACGGCAAAAAGTGCCACAAAGGTACCACCCACAGCCAGGTTCCCCACGTCTGCTTCTTCCTTTGTCCCAGTAACTTCTCCTTCTTTCTCCCATCTGCTTTGTTTGGCTGCTGCTACTCATATATTTGCATCCTACTTATGGTTTTGTGGGGTTTTAACCCTGCTAGGGTTGCAGAGTATTGAGGGGAATAGAGCTTAGGAATTTGAGGTGTTTCAGTCTGGTCAAATGACAACAGAAATCCAGAACCTAAATACTAATACAGCCTTAAGTAATGAAGATCATATGAATTTTTATTTCTGTGATTTTTTGACATGGTCAGTAAATAAGTGGAAAAATCTGTGTTTTATGGCAGTGGGGTGATCTGTAAACAGGTTCAGTAATGCTGCCTTTCCTTCAGATTTGCAGCTCTTTGAATTCAACTTACTCTTTGTAGCTTTTGGGGGTAGTTCAAAGAGAATTGTATCCCGCATTCATGTTTGCATGTCTCAGTAGCCCTTTCCAGACAGCACTGGAGTAACACAATAAAGATTCTCCCTTCAGATTTTTCTCTGGCCAGGCAGGACTGTGTTGGATTTATGGCAGTAATTCTGGTGGGTTTGGTAGAGAGCAATAATGACAATATTTAATATTTTATCATTCTTGTTGATGGGCTGAGTTCTGACAGGGAGCGTGCCTTGCCCAGCACTGGCTGTGCACCAAAGCAGAGAGCAGCAGAACTTAGACATCAAAGAAGAGAATTCCATAATGTATTTAATTGAATTCATCCTCAAGTATTCTAATTGAATAAATCTTTAAGCATTCTGCCACTCTGTTTCTGGGTTACATTTATGCAGTAACCTCTTTGAAATGTAAGCATGTATTAAGTATTTACACTTTGTTAACAACACCTCTAAAATGTACATTATAATATATTCTCTGCAAGGTTCTGCCAAATTATTTTCTGATTTTTGTTCATTTCTTTTAACTTTTCCTTTTTCTCATGCATGTTCTGTATCTGCTTCTATTTCCAGAATGCACTCCGGGGTTTTATGGGTCTGGTTGCAAACTGAGGTGCAGCTGTCCTCCTGATGTTCTATGTGATCCTGAAACAGGAGCCTGCAAACATCCGTGTCCAGCTGGGTTTCATGGAGAAGAATGCCATTTGTGTAGGTACTCACTGCATGTTTCCCTGGGAGACACACTTGGGATGGGAAAGCTTATTCAGAAAACAGAGGTTCAGAAATAGAATTTGCAGATAAAGAGGTACATTTGTTGTTGATTCGAGCTGGCAGTTCCCCGCTGAAACCAGAGTGATATTTGGAGCCTGGCAAATGCTGTCTCTCTTTGTCTCTCTCTCCCTGCAAAGGTCGAGGCACAAGGCTGAGGCCAGTTACTCAAACTAACATTTGTCCAGGTAACAATAGTTCCTTTTAAAGCTTCAGGCACAGATTTTACAGGGCTCTGCTGCAGTTCATTTCAGACCAGTTGCTCAGACACTGCTGCTAACACTGATCGCTTCTACCAGCACAGCTCAGTTTAAAATTGGTGGCCGTGGTGCCTCCTGATGTCTTCAAAATGTTCCTAACCATGACTTTGGGGTTTTTTTGTCCAGCTTGTCAGCCTGGCAGCTTTGGGATGGGCTGCAGGCAGAGGTGCAGCTGTGGAGGAGCCCCGTGTGACCCGAGGACAGGGCAGTGTGTTTGCCCAGCTGGGAAGACTGGTGCTACGTGTGAGCAAGGTGTGTGAGGTGCTGGACCAAGGTAGGGAGTGCCTGGCTTTGGAAGGCATGATGGGAAGTAGAATTTGTCTGTTTCCCAAACCAATAAACAGACAAACTGTGATGGAAATTGGGAGAGAGCCCTTGGTCTCTCTTTAGCTGTGTTCTTGTGTGCTGCAGGTTAATGACAGGGCTGACAGGGATGTATAACAATATAATGTAACAATCCAGCTCAGTGTTACTATTATTTTTAAATTCTTCTGGGTAACAGCAGAAATCTACAACTGTCCTGAAACAGAAAATGTCACTGGTTACACCTTGTGTGCTTTTTCTCCAGATTGCCCAGATGGCCAGTGGGGACCAGACTGCCAGAACTCCTGCGAGCCCTGCGCCAACGGGGGACAGTGCAACAGGGAAACTGGAGCCTGTGACTGTCCCCCTGGCTACACTGGGCCATCCTGCTCTGCCAGTAAGTCCTTGCCTCAGCCTTCCCCATGAAGAGAAAGTCAGATTGAAAATTCAGGTTACGGTTTGATTTCTGCCTCCTTGTTCTTTTGTGAGATAAAGCACGCTGATCTGAGATTAAGTGCCCTTCATCTCCAGGAATTCCCCAGGTTGGATTTGACGTTATTTGTGGGAGGGAGATTGCAGATAAATGCACATGATCAGCTAAACTGCATCCCAAATGGATGTTATCATTAGACCTAATTTATGGCAAGCTGTACTTGGAAATACAGTATTTAACAGCCACACCACTGCTGGTGTAATTCTGGCTGTTTGGCAAGAGGTGTGACCAGCTGGCCCACGGGGCATCATTCTTGAGTTATGTTTGCAGCAACACTCCTTGGTGTAAATCATTTAGGATTAAATAACACTGAAGATGAGGGAGCGGTATCAGTGCTATCCCTGCAGCCAGAGACCATGGGAATACTTTCAGGGAGCTGTTCTGTGCTGCCCTTCAGCCTCTGGGTGTTAAAAGGCTGCCTGAGTGTGGCTGTTGAGCTGCACAGAGGCTCTCAGGACAGCTCTGCTTTATGCAAGACCTTGGTGGTGGCACATTTTTAATTCTTTTTAGTCATAAAGTGGTTTTTCAGGAAGGTTTTCGTCCTCTGAGGAAACAGCTTGATACACAGGAGTACCCAAAAGTCACTCAGGCTATTCCCACATTCCAGGACTCAGCCCCAGACAGCCAGGGTGCAGACCCCAGATATTTCTGTGTTACTGCTTTGATTCCTGGGTTCAGCTAAAGCCTGTTTTAGGGGGTGAGCTGTCGCTGTCTGTTCGGGAAGATGGGTCTGTGGCCGGGCAGTGAGCTGGGTGAAGTCACAGCCTGTGTCTGTTTCAGCCTGCCCCGATGGGCACTATGGACAGAGCTGCCGGTGGCTGTGCAGCTGTGGCAGCAGTGCTCAGTGCCACCACATCACTGGAGAGTGCTCCTGTCCCCCGGGCTGGACTGGCCACGACTGCAAACAGCGTAAGTCAGGGCACACGGGACCTTCTGGGGACTGCGCGTTTGCTCTGTTTGCTCTTAGTTTATTACAGTTTTTTAATGTAGCTTTGCTAATCTTACTGCTTCTGAAACTGTGTGTTTGTGGGTTTGCACAGCCTGGGTGGTTATAATCCTTCATTATCCAGGTTCAAAGCGTTGAAATAGATGGCTGATGAAGCGCAAAGTATTGATATAAGCTCTTATTTCAACACTATGGATCCCTTTGCCCAATACCATCTGTCCCGTCAGCATTTTGACTGACAGACAGTTTTGTTTTTCATTTTCAGTGCAGATTAGTTTTGAGATTAATTCTCCATTTCTCATTTTATTTGGGGGAGATTTATTCAACAAGTGAGTGGCATGTACAGTCGTGTGTCTAAAGGTCACTTTTTAACTTGGGAATATAAATGCTGTGAAAAATTCTGTTCTCTGGAAGAGCAGAGCATCCTTCTGTTGACTTTAGCATCCCTCTCCATATTGGTGGCTGTGTGAGAGAGTAGATTTGCCCTTTTTGGATGGCACCATATAAATGTGAAGCCATCCTCCCTCTTCCTGTGACACATCTCTTCTGCTTGATTCATTGTGATGTGTCTTGCAAAAAGCCAGCAGAAGACAAACCTCTTTGCAAACTTGATCTTATACACATAAAATCATTTAATTGGCAGTGTTGCTAGCAGCAAGTTTTGCACCTGACCTCTCAGGCCCTGTACTGAAGAAAATGCTGGGAAAATCTGAAGTTTCCACCCATATGTATATTTTAAAAATCAAACCAGTTGGTAGTGTGTAGAGCCACTGAGATGGCTTTTGATGACTGCCTGGGCTGTCTAGAGAATTGAGAGACCATGACAAAGGAAAGCTTTTATTTCTATTCAGGATAAGATCTGAGAAAAATTGTTTTGCAGTGGTATCTTGGTACAGCAGCTCTTCCAGCTATTGCAGACCAGGCATTAAACAGATTCCCAACTCCAGAATCAGGTTTCTGTTGCCCTAATTGGCACTTTCATCTTCATCCTTTACTGGAAAGAAAGGACATGCTGTGGTACATTGGTGTAATTGTGTCAGTGCTGTGTGATTTTAAGATGAAAGCAGTAAGTTGCTTTAACAAACATTGTGAGATTCCTTTGTGTCCATGCTGCATTTCCCAGTATTTTGGGGAAAGCATGGAGGGTGCTCCCAAATCTATGTGGTTAAACCCATTAACTAATTCTGGTTACGCAGATTTTTGTTGAGTGAGTCAATAGCTGGTATTTTATTTCCATGAAATTATAGATTTGTGACTGATGGGTGTGGATTCACAGCATCACTAGGTTGGAAGAGACCTTTAAGATTGAGTCCAGCCCGTGCCTTAACACCACCTCAACTAAACCATGGCACCGAGTTCCACACCCAGTCTTTTTTTAAACACACCCAAGAACGGTGATTCCACCACCTCCCTGGGCAGATAATTCCAGAACTTTATCACTCTGGATAAAGACAAGAGTGATATCTTTATCACTCTCCAGCCACTTGAATGTGCCACTTGAATGTGCCTTCTAGAGGAACCCCTTCGAAGGTTCTGTCCCAAATTTGTCCTAAATTTGTCCTAAGGACACACCCTTTCAGTAAAAAAACTTTTTCGTAACATCTAACCTAAATTTCCCTTGGCCCAGCTTATGAATGAAAGGTTCTGTCCCAAATTTGTCCTAAACCAGGACACACTCTTTCAGTAAAAAAACTTTTTCCTAACATCTAACCTAAATTTCCCTTGGCCCAGCTTATGAATGATTAGTTTTATGGCTACAAATTATTAGTTTTAGGTGGATGGGACAATATCTGCTCGTGTCCAGAAAAATGGTCTTTATTTCCACAATTTGCGCCTGCGCTGCAGCTGGGAGTTCAGTCCCACAGCATTTTGTGTACTCTGTGCTGTCTCACGTGGAAGTGCAGCAGGGTTTGGGGGTGGTGCTGGATGTGACCCCGTTTCCTTGGCAGCCTGCAGCAGCGGCCGCTGGGGCCGGGACTGCGCCAACTCCTGCGCCTGCGACGGCGGCGACGGCGGCTGCGACCCCGCCACGGGCACCTGCTCCTGCCAGCCGGGATTCACCGGGCAGCACTGCCAGCTCCGTAAGTACCCACCTCCCCAGCATGTGGGACTCCCAAAGCCCAACTCCCAGATCCCTGGAAGTTGTGTTTTCCTGGTCGTTCCCCGCAGGAACGCTCCCCGGGCTGTTCCGCCCCTGCGCTGCCCCACGCTGCGCTCTCGTGTTTCAGCAGGGTTAGATGCTTTTCCTAATTGGATTTCCAGAAAAGGTATTTTCAGCCTTGTTTTGGATCCAGCAGCTATTTTTAGTGTTAGGATCTCTTGAGAGGGATAGGATTGATGTGTATTTGGGTTGTGGCATAAGAGTTTCCGTATTGGTTTTCTTAATTCAGTTTTAGGGCAGCACTTACCCTTCGTAAGTCTCTATTTCAGGTCAGATATATAGAAATACTTCACATGTACATAACAGAAGGAAAACAGGAATTTGGAGTCCTGTATTTATTAACAACAAAAGTGTGCAACAGTCTTATCAGAGGCCCATGACCCTCACCTTAACATTCACCTCTAACTGAGGTCAGTAGCAGACGCTTCAAGCATATGAAAACAGGCTCACAGTCAATTTCTCATATGTCTCCCCAGGTACCATCAATTTCTCATTCAGGAGCTTCATGAGACAGAAGCAATATCTCTATATTTAATACTGCTTGATTTTTTTTTCCAATTAATGTGCCTATTTTCTTTTTCATTTCATGCAAGCATTTGGAATCCACTTCATCTTGTGGCAGTAAGTTGCATAGTTAAGCTGCTATTACTATTATTATTGATTATATTGATGCTGTTAAATAAAACAAACATTTTATCTGCTAGTTTAACAATCTTACTGTAGCACAGATGTAGCTACCAGAGTCTCAGTAGTGTGGGCAGGATTAACTGCTGGTGTCACACAGAAATGTCAAAACAATTAATCTGGAGCCATGACCTAAGACAAGAAAGCCTGGAAAGTTGATCTTGCAGCCCTTGTTGCTGTTGGCACAGAGGGAATGGAAGGACAGTGTGTGGGGAGGACCAGCTCCCAGAGAAGAAGCTGCCAGCTCTGCTTCTCTTTCACTCTTGATCTCTCTCAAAATAGCATCTCTGCAGAGAGAGTGGCCAAATAGCTGCTTGTAATCCTCGCTGGGATGGGAATCAGTGAAGCCATTGCCACTGGCAACATCTGGCAGACCCTAAAGTTCTTTCTGTGGGCTTTCTGTTCAATTTAGTCTGCTTTTTACCCCTTTTTGTGCATGTGTGTGTGTATATATATACATATGTGTATATATATATTTCAAATTGCACATATATATATATATATGTGTGTGTGTATGCACAAGATTATGAAAACCATAGTTCTTCCCATAATTTTATGCTGCTTTGGAGGTGAAATCTTCACTATCCCTGGATATTTCCCCTGTTCCCCAGGCATCCCTTCCTTCTCCCTGCAGGTTGGGCTCCTTCCCCTGGCAGGAGCTTAGGTTCTCTGTCGGGGTGGCTGGATCCTGACACGCATCACAGCAGCCTGTGCCTGCTGGAGCAGGGGCAGATTCTCTGTGCTGTGGACTGTGAAATCATTTGTGAAGTGCTCTGACCCTTTGCCATCACCTTGAAAAGCCTCAGCTCTGGGCTAAACACCTGAAGGGAGCTCTGCTGAGAGCCCCACACCTCTTGCTGCACTGCAGCACCATTTCCCTTGCACAGATTCTCTGAAATTTCAGCTGAAAAGGAAACATGGAGAAGGATCAAGCTTTTAAGGCACAAGTGCACCTTTATGTATTTATTTGTTAAACAGTGATGTGCAACTTTGGGTAGAGGAAGGGATTTTACCTGTAACTACAAAAAAAACTAGATTCTAACATGCATTTAAACAAGGTCACATTTTTTGACTCTTTGAAAGCAAAGAAATACTTAAGGTACCTTGCTCTTCTCCCAGCTCCTCTGTAAGACACACAGTTGGCAGAGTCACTGAGCTGCAGGAGCAGCTGAATTCCTGCCAGCTCCAATCACTGCCCACCCATGGCACCAAACAAACAACACCAAACCCACCCCCCTATTCCAGACATGGAAGAGGAAGGGATTTTACCTGTAAGTACAAAAAAAAACCAGATTCTAACATGCATTTAAACAAGGTCACATTTTTTGACTCTTTGAAAGCAAAGAAATACTTAAGGTACCTTGCTCTTCTCCCAGCTCCTCTGTAAGACACACAGTTGGCAGAGTCACTGAGCTGCAGGAGCAGCTGAATTCCTGCCAGCTCCAATCACTGCCCACCCATGGCACCAAACAAACAACACCAAACCCACCCCCCTATTCCAGACATGGAGCTGTCTTTGAGGGCTCTTGTTTTCTGTTCTCTCTGATTCCTTCCAGATTGCCTGAAAATCACTTTGTTGCTGTAAATGCTAAATCATAGACTTCTATAAGAGATCTGGCAATAATCTCCATAACTCTTTTAGAGGGATGTTCACAAGACCTTCAAACATGAGTAGAGGCCCTGTAATACTGTATTTAGCCAAGTCTATCTCTGTGTTTCAGTCTGTCCAAAATATCCAGTGTGAATTAGGCAACTGGCCCTGGTCTTAATTGATTTTCCTATAATCCTGGAAGAAATTATTTTCATTCTCAAAATGTTTTCTTTCTGCTGATAGCAAGTACCATGCAAATCTTTTAAAACTCCTCACATTAACTGCTGTGGAAATGTAATTGTTAATCTGTCCCCCAGATGTAATGTTTTCACATGAATCTTTCAAAGCAGAGCATGAAAGTGAAGTGTGCAGCATTCAATTTGGAACTTTGTGAAGGCAACCAACACATTTCATCTTTTCTCCAGCTTTCTGGAGAAAGAAGATTTGCAGGAAAAGAGAGGAGCTTCTCCCCTCACAGTTGATGAAGTCCCAGAGGAGATGTGCACATAAGCAACTCCAGACCAGTGGGCACAGTGTCATCATGCAGAACCTGTGAAGTCTCAGGCTCTGCAATAGAAGGTGTTCATTTTCTGTGCAGAATTTGGTCTTTCAACACTCTGGAATTTTTCTAAAATAGATCTTAAATGTAGCCCAGCTTACATGAACCTCAAGGGGAACACTCAAATCTTAGTTTGAAGCCGTTACCTTTACACCTTGATTATTTTGGAAATAGTCAGATTTCCCATGCATGTAAAAATTCCCCATTGATCCCTGATGTGCTCTGGCATTAAGCCATCCTCTGGTTGTGATTCCTGTGCTGCAGGGTGCCCGGAGGGGAGCTTTGGCCCAGGCTGTGAGTCCAGCTGTCAGTGCCAGAACGGAGCTGCCTGCGACCACGTCAGTGGAGCCTGCACCTGCACGGCGGGCTGGACAGGAACCTTCTGTGAAAAAGGTACTGCTGATCCCCCTGATCCCTCTAGGATTCATGGAGAATTTGTTCTGGTTTTTATTCAGAGAGCAGGTTTTACAATTGACAGCATTGGATCTAAATGAACCACTGAACTTTATTGGAAGCCGATCCTGAAATGTGAACTCCTAACTCAGCAGAGCATCGTGCTGGGTGCCAAATGTTGGGCACGTGTTTTCACATGGTTAAAATTAGATATATGCTTAAGGCTTCTGCTTTATGAGTCTTTGTGAAGACTCTTTTCAAGCAGGGTCCCACTATTCGAGCACTGAGCAGGGAAAAGCTTGTTCAGCCTTATGCTTGCTTGTTTCCAGTGCCTTCCTGAAGCAATTTCAAGAAAAACATGGATGTGTGCATCATCTCTGTAGAACTCTTTAAGAACAGATTCACTTCTGACTTAAATAAATCCAATTCTATTCTATCTAATCTTCTATCACCTAGTCATTTGGTAAGGTGTTGGAAAGGTTGGACAGGATTCTTTAGCTACATGATGGTGAGTCAGTCCGTGGCATTATCACAGGAGGTTGCTTTCATGCTGCATCATTTTGCAGATTTTTTTTGTTTTAAAAAACACAAGAGAAACAACACAGGGCCATTCAGGCACTGTGAAAGTTAAGTGTAGGTGATTGAAGATTCTGCAAATTATGGTATTTGAACCAAAGTCACAACTATTTTGCATGGAAAGCAGCTTTATCAGCCAGTTTTAGCAGTGAGGATGGAGGGAAGTGACAGCACTTGCAGGCAGCTGCTGCCCTCTCATGGGAAGGAAGATGCTCCACAGCCTGACCAGGAGTGTGGCAAGGCACCCACGGGTTGGAGTTAATATTCCTTCTTGTTGTTTCCCTCTCTTTCTTATCAGGCACTATTATACAAAATAAATATTCTTTCCAAGGTTCTGCTGCGAATTGCACCTCGAAATTCATGGTGTCTCCACTATGTCCCTTTTAAATACAATTTAGCTAAAATCTAAATCTAAATCTACTGGTTTTTTTCTTTTTAATTATTGTATTTTTATTGGAAAAAAAATGAGGCAGTTATCTGTTTTGTTGTATAAATCTCTTCATTCCAGCAGGAATTATAGTGGGAACAAAGAGGCTAAACATCCTTTGCCAGAATAGGTGTGAGGAATATGGAGAAGACTGGGGGACTCTATTGGTGGGGAAAAAAAGAACAAATCTCAGCTTCCAAATCAGTCATGTTGGACATTTTTATCTTTTTTTTTAAATTCCTGAAAGAAGATTGTGGAGGGGAGAGTGAAATTTAGGGCTCTGTAAAACACCGTTTTCCGTGTGTTTTCTCTCAGGAAGGCAAAGTGTTTGCTCTCAGCTGACCGGGGTTACCTCTTAACTTAGGAAGTTTCAACCAGAACAGTTTGGCAGCTTCCAAAAGGCGCCGAGGGAGGAGAACATGTGGGTGGTTTGCCCTTGGTGGAACCTTCTTGGCACCTTCTCTCGGAGGAGCTGCAGCGCTTCTGTTTGGAGTGACTGGGAGACTGGCAGGGTTTCCTTCTGGCAGGGATGTGCTTTTTGCCGTCCTCTTGGCAATCCACCCACGTTGGCCAGGCTCTGTGCCTTGCAGGCAGAAATTCACATCGAGCCCTGGCTGCCTTGGACTTCAAACATCCTGCTGATGCCTCAGCCCGTGGCTGGGGAGGACTGCTCCGTCGTCACAGAAATGTTGGAACTGAGACTTTTGCACCCTTCTAAGTTCGAGGTCCTGGGAGAAGACAGTCCCTTACAAAATGGGATTTTGATTGATATTAATAATTAATATCACCCCTGCACAGCGAGGGTGTTTGAACCTGCAGTCGTTGCTTTTGGTGTTTTGCATTGTGGCAGCACGGGATCTGGATTCAAGCTGAGACTGCAGAAATCCTAAAATATGCCTTGGGATTTTTAGTTTTCATTTGGAGAAAGTTTCTTCCCATTTTGTTGGGAAGCTGCTGTTTCTTTTCATTAATTTGCTGCCTTCAGTATGAATTAAGGCTTCATAGGCATAGGTACCCCTGTTGCAAAACACCACTTCAGTGACCATTTCCAAGCTTATTTGTCACAAATTTCCATAATCTCTTATTAATATTTATTAGAATTGGTAATGTAATCTTAGTCCTTGCTGAATCTGAATGTATCTATATAATCTGTCAGTAATACAGATAACAGCCAAAGCCACACCATCCTCATCATCATCATCACCCAGCAGCACAGGACAGTTTCCAAGCTCACTCATAGCAGGAGACACTTTTGCTCCAGGGCTGCTGTTTCATGAGACCTTGCTGTGAATTATTCAGGAGCTGACTGAACTTCTGTGCTCTGAGCCACAGGATGCTGACAAAAGACCTCACACTCTGCAAAGTACTTTTGTCTGTCCATCAGCATCTCAGTTCTGCTCTGCCCTGAGTCACCTTTGATCAGCTGCTCTTCATCTGGTACCACTCAGTGGTGCTGCTGCCTCTGCAGTTGTGCTGTGGTCACATATAATAATGATGGGGAAGAATAAAGCCATCAAGACACTCTCTGAAAGAAAATTAGACGTTTCTGAAGGTGCTACATGCCTGCTCCGTCTTTCAGCCCTGCTCAGTGCTTTGTGAAAATGAACCTTGTGAATCTTGTGAGTCTTTCAAAGGAGTTTCAAAAGCAGCAAAACTGTTTCAGTTACAGAGTAGGTAACGATTGCAAATAAGGCTGAAAACAAAATAATCTACAAAGAAATTATTTCAGTCGGTGAGAGCAATCTAGGAAAGGCTTCCTTTGAATTTTCTTGAAAGCAGCAAGTGATACAAGCAGAACACTGATGAAATAACATATGTTTCTTCACAAGGTCTCACATTACCAAAGGAAAATGAATAATTTTTGGTGGATGCTGCTAACAGTGCCACCAGCCAGCTTCCATATGTGAGTGGCAAAAAAAAAAAGGGACAGAAGAGTCCAACAGTGGAAGATGTACGTGGAGAACTCACTGGGAATGTTCCAGGCCAGGTTGGATGGAGCCTGGAGCAGCAGTGGAAGCTGTCCCTGCCCATGGCAGGGGCCTTGATGGCAGATGATCTTTAAGGTCTCTTTCAACCTAAACCATTCTTGGATGACACCAGTGTTACTGTGACCTGGCAGAGAGCTGTGAATTAGTGTGGAGGGTTGTGGGTCAGTGTAGATGGTGCTAATCATTGTAGGGTTCTCTTGGGAATCCGGTCATTCTGATAGCATGGTAGAAGTGTGAGGATTAGATTTTAAATAAGAGTTTATATTGAACAAGGAGGACAAAGGGAAAAATTTTACTGAACTACTGCTTAGTTTAGTGAAGATACTGCTTATTTTACTGAATTACTGCTTATTTTGTGAGCACCATCACTCCTGAGGTTGATTCAGGGATTCTGTGGAAAGAATGATGTACAGTTTGTATCTATAGATCTGTTATTACTTAGTGCAATGTAATATACTGTACTATGTGGCATAATATATGCACTTATATAATCTAAACACACACATAGATGTTAAATTAAGGCTACATGGAGAATATATTTTTAAACTCTGCATATCAGCCTTAGTGTCCCTGTAATGTAACATTTGGAGTATGACACTGATCCTTATTTCACTGCTGTCAGCACTGGTACAGGTAAAAATTGAGTTCATGGAGCTGCTCTTCCTCAGTCCAGGTTCAGTTCCAGATGTAGGTGCAGAGCTTCTTCGGCTCCCTGGGGTTGTTTTGATATGTTTAATTTGTCTTGGTTTTCTCTGCTCATTCACTTTGCCAGTTTTTCATTCCAGCACTGAACTGCACCACTGTGGCTTGGGTTCACTGTTAAAGAATCTTTAGAAAAGTGTCAGGACAGTAAATGGGAGCAGAAGTTTTGCATTTCCAGAGGGAGGGAAGTCAGCAGGGATGGCCCTGGAGTCTTGTGTTATGTTGATTTATTTCCTCTGTCCGTTAGAGAGGCACAAGGAACAGCTTGTGTGAACCCAGCTCCGTTCTCTCACTTGTTTGATGGCTTTTCAATATTCTCAGCCCTGTTTTCCTGCACAGGAATCTGTTGCTTGTGTAAAAGGGTCACATTTTTCCAAGGTGCACTGTAGCAGAACTGGGCAGGCTTAACCCCTGATGCGACTTCGTTTCCTAAGCATCTGTGAAAAGACGAGATGGAGTTTGTGCAGGAAAAAAAAAAAAAAAAAAGCAGTAACCTTGCTAAAAAGGAATGTTTTGCCTTTCCAGCCTGTCCAGACGGATTCTTTGGGATTGACTGCCACCAGGTGTGCAAGTGCAAGAATGCTGCTGGCTGTGACCACGTGCTGGGCTCCTGCCACTGCCTGCCAGGCTGGCAGGGGGAGAGCTGCGAGCAGCGTACGTACCCCCTGCTCCCACACCCCAACCCTCCCCGGGATGGGATGCTGCCCTGCCAGGGCACACTTCCAGACAGCTCACCTTCTTCCCAAATATGCCAAAAAAAAGGAACAATTTCTGGTGGCTGTGTAAAATCACCAGCTTTTTTTAATTTATTTTTTTTAACTCATCAAACATGATAAGCATCAGGTTTTAAATAGCAGAGCTGTCTCCTGCCATATGACAGCTCCCTGCTTTTTATTTTTGTGTGACATTAAGAGATTAAATGTTGTGTATGTGTTTCTGGTGTATCTCATCTAATTATCAATTATAAAGTGTCAGATTATAAAAGTGCAAAGTGGAAAAATCAGACATGGGACTATTTTGTTATTTAAGCATGACAAAATAGTTTTTTAAATAATTACTAGGGAAGTTATTTGTTTTAAAATAAATTTCAGCTTCCTAGATGTTCACAAGTGTGAATTATCCCAAAATTTTTAAGCTAACAAAGTGCTTGTATGTACACATATATCAAATTGGCTATTCTGAGAAATTTTTTGTTGCATTTCATGGGAAATTAGGTCATTTTCTTTAGCTGCATGGCATTACATATAGAGATCACTGAGCCTATTTGAAAAGTTTAGCAAATAAGTGGGCTTTTTTAAGATTTTCAGGTTTTAGCTTCTCAGCTTCCTTGTTTTCCTTTAGGATGATGTCATGGTCTAAGCTTCCTTTTGAAAATATGAGTGCTGTCTGCAGGACTGGGCTGTAGAGCTGGGCTCCAGGGCAGCTTCACAGCGAGCCAGCTCTGTGAGGGAACACTTCTTTGATCCACAGGTCATGGCTTTCTGCAATAGAAAAGTGGTTTACTTTAGAAAATAGAGTGCAGTATGGCTTTTATTGTGGCAATGTTGTTCTTCAGCCATACACTATTTTATCATCAGCCCTGTTTGAGGGCAGTGCTTGTTCTTTGTAATATTTCCCCCCCAAATTATGAGAAGGCTTCTCCTGCAAAATTCCCTACTCTTTTGTTTACAGGTGAGTCAGTTCTGCTGAATCTTCCCCATTTTAGACACTTCTCCTTACATCCCACCACCACAATTTTTGCCTCCTCATGCCCTCCCACAGGAAACTTGGCCCTCCACCTCCCACCACCTGAAGACGCTGGTGGTAGCACAGCCTTTGAGTGCAGATTGGTGGAGTGAGCAGAGAACAGAAGCAGACCAGAGTCACTTTCCCATCCCAAGGGTCAGAAGAGGTGCTGCTGAACAGGTGCAATATTTGCTCCTTGGTCACAGCACTTTTTTCCTGTCCAGCCACAGCGTTGGCAGTGTGTCACCTTGCTCCTTCCCCAGTCCTTAGCATTAGGGATGGGAAGCTTTGCTCTATAGTTCATTAAATTCAATTAAGAGTTGCAGCTCCTTCTCCATGGCCTCTGGTGCCCTGCTTTACTTGTATTAAGGAAAAAAAATCCTATTTATTGTCTTGTGCCAGAGCCATTAGAGCTTTGTGCTGGGCTGATTTATTCCTCCTTCTGTGAAGGTGCCAAAGTCCTCAAGGCCGCCATGAGTGAGAGAGAGAGGTCAGCTAACAGTGCAGGGTGACTCCTCCTTTCTTCTTGGCTAAGTGAAGGATCTTCATTATGATTTTACACCTGGGCCTCATCCATGCTGCTCCAGAGCTGCTCAGGGTGGGAGAGAGCTCAGCACTCCCCATCCTCCCAGGGTGTTTAATATTCACCTTGCCTGTTCCTGGGACCCACCAGCTCCAGCAGCTGGAAGGACAGCACTCGTGTGGAAGTAATCAGATTGCAGGCAATGTGCTGGAGGATATTGAGGAATAATTTTGGCATCATGGGATTTGAATTGATCCTAAGCCAGCCATGCAGTGAGTTTTATACTCTGCTATCTAATTACAGGCAGTATGGACAGTGATGCCTTTTGTTGAAGCTGCCTAATGCTTTCCATTACCAGACCGTGGGTTTCAGTTGTTTGAAAATGAATTATGTTAATCTGGGCTGAAATCTGCCAAGCAAGCTCTGCCTCAGCTTCAGTCTGTGCTCAGAGATTTTATTTGGGGATTTTTTTGAGTGTCCACCTGAGGTATTTCAGGTTTCCAAGAAAGAGGCTTAGGAAAAGTATGTTGCCTGTTATTTTTTGTTGTTTGTTGGTTTTTGTTGAGTTGTTTTAATGAACTGTTTCACTGAGTGCTGTGATATCTCAGTGATACAGAAGTGAGGAACTGACATTTGGCATTTTTTTGTGATAGAGATGTAACCTTCCTTTCTGGATACCTCATCCCTGGAAGTGTTCAAGGCCAGGTTGGATGGAAGGAGCAACCTGAGCATGACAGGGATCCCTGTTCATGACAGGAGGATTGGAAATTGATGATCTTTAGGGCCCCTTCCAACCCAAACCATTCTGATTCACTGCAAATTCTTCCAAAGTTTGCAAACTTGAAAAAAGCCAACCAAACCCTCCAAAAATCTCATGCTGCATATGGTCTGTGGCAGATGTACACAATTCAACATCTGAATTTTGCCTTAATTCTGTCAGTACTAAACATGCCTCTTTCTGGAGCTGCTGGAGCTCAGCAGAATCTTCACTGAAGTGGCTCCTTGTGGTAAAAAAGAGACCACTCTGGTTTGAAAAATAAATAACTACAGAAAAATTTGCTCAGCCAGAGGCACTGATAACAGGGGTTTGACGTTTCGTGGTGTTTTGAGCACTTGAATTTGCAGATTCCCTGTTCTTCTAAAGCTAAAGCTTCATTTTGTGGAGAATAATCCATTAAAGTCACTTGAAATCAAAGCTAATGGACACCCTATAGAACAATGGAGCCTATCATTTTCCTTTTCTTCTGGCCAGTTTTGATGGCTGTTGACTTCTGGTCTAGAAGAAAAGTCTCCAGTTTCACTTGTTCCTTCCTCTGCACGCAAAAAGGGATTTTAAAGAGTGCAAACAAATAAATCCTCCTCTTGCAGAGGCAAGACACCAAGAGGAAGATTTTGAATCAGGGAAAAAATCTATTAATTTAAACCTGTAGATTAAGTGATCTTTCTTCTTGCATCGTGAAGAAGGAAAATGCCCAGGGATATTTGTACATTCAGATGTGGAACTCCATGAAATAGCTTCAGTATGTCACTTTTCCCCTAAATCTTCAGAAAAGCACTTTGAAAATCATGATTGTCCCACCAGGAATCAAAAGAACATTTGTGTCTACCCAGTAGAATAGTTAAAATTTTCTTCTCCACAAATTTCTGCATTCTTACCAGAATTTTCACTGAAACACCCTATTGTCTTTTTGGTAAGTGTAACAAGAGCTTTGCATACATACTCCAAAAACCTCCCACAAACCACTGGTAACCAGTCAGGGGATCTGGTGATGAGCTGGTTTTTCCTTTGGCTTGGTTGTGCTGCAGTTCTGGTCTGTATTGTGGAAATATTTAGTTCTGCTCCCAAAACCCGAGCCAGAGCTCTGTAGATGTGCTGAACTTTTCACTTGGCAACCAAGCTTCATTTGAAGAACAAACTTTTAGCTGTGATGGGATTGAGCTCCTGCTCTTTCTTGTGGTTTCAACATGGATGAGGTCCAAGTGATGACAAGAACGAGCAGAGTAGAAAAGAAGTCCAGGGAGGAATGGTGTCTGAGAACCAGGCTGGGAAGCTGGAAGACTTTCTCACATGGGGAGAAAAGGGCTGAGAATGGGTCAGAGACTGACAACCAAGTTCACCTCCAAGATCAAGGTGGTTTCACACCTCCCTTCTGTCCCCAGGGACTTGCTTTCTCACAGCACTGCGTCGTGTTCACTGACACCATGAAAGGCAGAGAAGTTTGGGTGAAAATTCTGTTTGGCTGTGAAACCTGGAAGATGTCACATTCAGTGAATGCAGGACACTCTCTTGGATCAGGGATCCAGGCGTTTTTTGCCTCTCCAGTGCATGCCAGAGGTGCTGCAGGGATGAGAGGCTCTGACAGGAGCCCCTGCAATGCAGAACAAAAACCGTGCAAGGAGGCGATCCAGCTCCATCAACCCCCTTTGTATTATTTTGGGTGATAGCTGAAGAAAACAGGGTAGCAGAACTGTCTGTTCTTCACCATCCAAAGCTATCCAAATCTCCAGTGCAATGGAGGCTGCAGGAATTTTATCACTGCCATTTTTCACAGGCAGCAGCACTGAAAGTGGAGCGTTTGCTTACCAGATGACTGTGTTAAGTTTTCACCTGGGAGCCAGCTGCTTAACCAAACCCATTGAAAATATCACCCCTCTCTGACCAAAGAATGAAAGTCTGGGTGAGCAGAGGCACCCAGCTGTGAAAAATGAACACTGAAAACAATGAAGTTGTCAGTTCTCTTACCAGGATGCAAATAAATACCGGGTCTGTCAGGCTGGCAGTTCTGCTGGACCATTAGTTTAGCACAAAGACCTTCTGCAGAGCAGGGGATGACAGCTGATCCATCACCCCCAGTGATCCAGCCCCTCGATAGAAACCTCTTCAGAATGGGCTGGGATGCGTATTTTTAACCCACATTATTATGTTAGGCTTTCATAAGACACATTATCTCTAAACTGCAGAGTGTTGCAGAACAGTTTCAGTTTATGTGATCTCAATTTGCAGAATTTTTTTTTTAAATGCCTTTGCAGTTTATGTGTTGGCTGCTATTGTGGACTTAGCAGTGCTGAGTTAACAGTTGAACTTGATGATCTTAAAGGTGTTTTCAAACCTAAATGATTCTAATACTGTTTCTAGAGTTAGACATGGTTAATATAGGGAGTTTTATATATAAATATATATTTCCAGGGATGGTGAAGTCACTATTCCTTGAAGTGTTCAAAAAACAAGTAGACACAGCACTTTGTGATTTAGTTTAAGGATCATGATGGGTTTTGGCCAAAGGTTGGATTGATGATCTTGAAGATCTTTTCCAACCTTAATATTCTATGATTTTATATGGACTTAGGCACCCTTATGGTGTGAAAAGTGTCACTGGAGCACAGCTCCAGCCCGATTTCCCTGGCACTGTGTTGTGCTCTGTGATTCCTGATGGGGTTTTATGGAATTTTGTCATTGCAGCCTGCCAGGAGAACAGCTATGGGCCGGGCTGCAGGAGCACTTGTCACTGTCACAACAGAGCTCTCTGTCACCACGTCACCGGGACGTGCCTCTGTAGCCCGGGCTGGAAAGGAGCCACCTGCCAAGAAGGTACAGTTGGAAATTCAAACCCCTGCCTGTGGATTATTGGGGGGGAAAAATAAAACCCTTTTTTGGGGAAGTCTCACTGGTGTTTTAGCCCTCAGCTCGTTGCCCTGTGTTATTGTTGGGCTTGGATCTGCAGTGACGTGAGTTGGTCCATTAAGGTAATCCATGACACTGTGTTGTAGGATCCCAAAGTGCAGAGGGCAGAGGGGTGAAACAGCCATAAACTGGAAAGAGAGCTGCTTTTGAAGGCTGATGAAGGGAGAAAAGGTCCATAAAACTCCCAATTATGACGCTGAAATGAAGCTCTGTTTCTTTTCTATGGGCTGCTTTACTGTCCCATGCACTAGACTGATCCTCAGCATTACCTTGTGCTGTTCCAGACAGAGCCTAAATCCAGACCATGTGAAAGGCATTGAGCCTTCCAGCCTTAGCAATCAGACCCATACGTGAGGCTTAAGCACAAGCCCAGCTCCAGAGAGCCTTAAGAAGAGGCTGGCAAAGAAAGGCTGCACTGTGCAAAGTGGCTTGCACTGCACATCCTAATCCATGCATCCCAGGCAGTAGGAAAAGTCTGTCCATCCCAGCTGTAGAAGCTCCTTGTTCTGTGCCTTCCCCACGAGGTCCCTGGGGTGGCAGCAGTACGATGGAGCTGGGAATGCTGCTGTGGCTGCTCCTGGGTGAGCAAGGATTGCTAGGGAAAGGGGATGAAATCTGGCAGGGGTGGAGTGATATTTCAATTTAGCACATTTCCCTTTTAAAACTTGATATGAATTTTTAAATCCTTCCATGAAGGATTTAAAAATTGAGAAGGCACCAAACTGTTGTTGGTGACATGTACCTAAATTTTTGTTTTGTCCGAAGGCCACAAATACAAAACCAAAATGAAAGTTACAAAAGCTTTTTCAAACGCACCTTTTCTCTTCAAATACACGTTTGGGGATTTCTTTTTTCTTTGAAGTGAGGAGGCAGAATAATTATGTGAGGCTTGGGGAGCCATCCTCTGGTGCCTGTGCTTTTCCAAAGTGACAGCTTGCCCCTGTTTCCATCTTAAAGAGTTGTCACTCCAGCACATGGTAGAGGTATGTGGTTTTTTGCCAAAAAATTAGGCTCTATCCATAGAAACTGGTTGTAGTAGGAATTAATAGACTTCCCTAATTAAAATTAGGTAAATGGTGAAATGTCATCAGCTAGAGAAGGAGCTGTGATTTTAAGTGGACTGTGCAAAGAAATTCTGAGAACGGGAAAGCCAAGAACTGCACTCCCCAGTGTTGAGGAAGCTGGAAGGAACAAAAAAAAAATGGGTTTTTTAGGTGCAAATAGAAACACTCAAGGTTATTTGGTGGGTCACTAATTCACTTCACCACCTACTTTGTTCCAAGACCAGCTTTACAATGATCAGAGTAATTCCTTACTGGTTGCATACCCATTTCTGCTTGGTCGTACCTCCCACAGCATCTTCCAGAAGGGCTGGAAGGGTGGGAGAGGTGATGTTGCACCTGTGACCTTCTCCTGCACCTCCTGATGGAAGGTTTTCCCTGCCTCCCTTGGCAGCCTGTCCCCCAGGGTGGTACGGAGCAAACTGCCTGCAGCGCTGCCTCTGCCACGGCCAGGCCACCTGCGACCCTGTGAGCGGCGAGTGCCAGTGTCCCCAGGGCTGGACAGGGACAGCCTGTGAGCTGGGTGAGTCCCATCACCCCCTCCACCCCTCCAGCACCTCGGTTCAGTCACTCTGGGAGGAAGTTCAGTTGTGCTAGGGTCTGGTTTGAGATGACCTGGAGGAAAAAGGGTGGAAAACACCAGATGGAGAGAAGTTAAAAAAAAAAAAAAAAATTGGGTTGTTTAGTCAGAAATGAGAAGGATGAGGGAGGACATGATGTTGGAACTTGAACATATCCGTGGTGCTGGAAACTTCCTGGCAGAGGAGAGGAATAATCTATTCTTTGTCCCTTGGAAACAGGGAAGATAGGTAGTGAGCTCCATTTAAGGAGAAAAGAAAGAAAGAAAGAAAGAAAGAAAGAAAGAAAGAGAGGAGAAAGAAAGGAAGAAATGCTTAAAGAGGAAAATGGTGTATTTCTAGAGATTTTTCCTAAAGGAGGCTTAAAAATTTCCTTCACTGAAGGTTTTTAAGCCCAGTTTAGGTGGTTCATCATATTGCAGAGGTATGAGGGAGTTCCTGCTGGGGTTGCTCCAGCCTGGCCCCCCATCATCCTCCCCATCCCGTTTCAGAGTGTGGGGACGGGCAGTTTGGAGAGGGCTGTGAGCAGAACTGCAGCTGCCACCACGGGGTGTGTGACCAGCCCTCAGGGAAGTGCCTCTGCCACGCTGGCTGGACCGGGGACCGCTGTGATGTTGGTAAGGGCAGCTCCTTCTCCAAATCCTTCATTTGAACCATCAGCCATTTCTGCCAGTTTTCTATTTTCTATTTTAAATTTCCAGTATTCTGCAGACCAGTCAGGATTTATGCCCTCTCACCCTATCTCAGACCCACAGGCAGGTCTCTGCCCAGCCATGCCCTTGTGCAAATCATTTTATCTCGTTCTATCTCTGTTCCCTGCCTGCTAAGAAAATGAAGGTATTTCTCTACCTTACACACACAAGGAAAAACACAGGAAAGGGAGGGAGTTTTAAGGAGAATTTGCCAGATCATCCACCTGCTGCTGGGTCTCTGTGGGTCATTGATGGGAGCTCAGCAAACTGGACTGCGATGGTTCAGACAGTTCAGATCTGGCACAGACACAGCTGTTTAGCATGCTTAGAGCCATCTGAATCCCTGAAATAGGGATTAAACCTCATACACAGGTGACTTAAAACATGCTTTCAGCTCATCCACTGAGGTGCTGTGCTTTTAGCAAGCCACAAGCAGCTTTCCGAGGTCTCCTGAGGTGCTGAGGTCTCATAAAGCCTCATCCACCAGTGCAACCTGTAAACCCTTCTCAGTGCCCACCTCCCTTTCTCTGTGGTCACTTTGCAGGGACCTGAGAGGTGGAAGCAGTTCATGACACAGTTCCACTGCTCAAAGAGCTGTCCCTGTGTGCATAGTTGTGTCAAAGCAAACAGCATCACCCTGTCCATGGACCCTGTCTGGATTTACACTCCAGGCTGTGACTCAGTCTTAGCAAACTTTCCTGTGCAGACTCACTAGCAGCCAGCATTAAATACGTCTAATATTTTTAATATCTTCACTGATGTTTTCTGGCCACGCAATCTGCTAAATATCCTCCTGAGCAGGAGCTCAGGCAAGGAGGATCCTGGCTGGTGGCCAGTGGAGGCTGTCCCCAGGCAGCAGGTTGCAGGAAACAGGACTCCTGTACGACAAACCAATATGATTTAGCAAAAGCCATTTATTGTTTAGATTATACCATATTTATACATTCTACAAACTACTGCAAGTGCTAATTACACACTTCTTGATTGTGCATCTGTCTTGTCCATGTGTTCTGCATGCACTTCTCAGAGTATTGGTTACAGTCCAGGTGCTTCACAGCCCTCTGTTATCTAGTTCTTGCTGTCTTGGTATTCTGTTTCTCAGCCTCTTCTTCCTTAATTTAGCACAATTTATGTCCTAGTAACCTTGACGAATTCCTGAGGCCACTGACAAGAATAACTAGAAGCAGCCTGGCTGCTGCACACTGTGGCCTGGACCTTGCAAATGCATTGCCACAGCAGGTAGCACGTTGCTCTCTCTGCTTGCCCCCAGGCTGCCCCCCGGGATTTTTCGGCGAGGGCTGCGAGGAGCGGTGTGACTGCGCCCACGGCTGGTCCTGCCACCCCCAGACCGGAGCGTGTCACTGCCAGAGGGGGTGGCGAGGGAGGCACTGTGACAAACGTGAGTGATGAGGGCAGCACCTCGGTTTGGGGTGCATGTCCCCCCAAACTCAGAGCTCTCGGCCGTGGCTGGGTGTTTTCACACCCTCGTTCCTTGGGGTCAGGGTGGAGGTGCTCGCAGGGATGGGTGCATGGAGTGGGTGGCTGTGGAGATTTTGTGGGGTTTTTTGTTAAGGTTTGGATTGAATGTGTGAGATCTTGTTTGGATTTAGATGTTTGTTTGTTTTTTATTTATATTATAGTTTTACAAACCATGAGTTTTGCAGTATTTTATTTTAATAAATTAACCATTGAGTTGTATTTTTACAAGGTTTTTTAAAGGATAAACTAATTAAGAAATGATACTTAAATTATTTTTATTTTTAACTTAATAACTAACTACTTGTGGTTTGTAATGTGCACTTTTTATCTAATTACATAATACCCATTAAGAAGAAGGTGAAGAAGAATGACTACCTTCTAACCCACCCTTTCTATCTTGCTTTGTATATAATATATACTATATATTATATTATTTATACTACTATATATATTTATAGTAGTATAAATCTACTATATAGATTATATATATCTTCATATATAGATATATATGAAAATATGTATCCAATATATACTATGTTCTAAATATATTCTGTACTATATATTACTGTATTCTAAAACTTTATATCTTAAAACCCTTAAATTTTTCACCATGTGATACTATGCACTTCTATTCAAATTGCACACTCATAATCCCAGTTCCATCATTCCGTTTTGGAAGCCTTCCCCACGGCCTCAGGTTGAACGCAGCGTTCTCTTGGCGGTCAGTGCCCGTCAGCGCAGAACCTCTGAAATTCTCAGTGAATTCAGGGAACCCTCAGCAATCTCGGGGTTGCAGCAGGTGGCTTTGTCCCGTCTGCTGGCCCTGACAGGGTTGGTGTCCCCTGCAGCCTGCCTGCCCGGCCGTTACGGCGCGGGATGCGCGCGGCGGTGCCGCTGCCCCACGGGAAGGCCCTGCCACCACCTGACGGGCGCCTGCGGATGTCCCCCGGGATTCACCGGCCACGGCTGCCACAAGAGTGAGTTCCTTGTCACAGCACAAATGCTTCCCTTGCCTGTTCTTTCGTGAACGGGTTTGTTGAATCAGAACGCGGCGATGTGGCGCCTGAAGGGGGAGGAGACAACAACCTGACTGGAGGGAAGATGGCCAAGGGTGCCCTTTCCTCACCCAGCTCTGAGCTCTGTTGGGGCTGCTGCGGTTTGCCCTCTGTGTTTGCAGATGTTGGGCTGGCAGGGAGCAGCCAGGGGCTGAACTGGACCCAAATAAACTGAGGATGTGCCAGTGGAGCCCTGCCCAGTCCACAGCCAGTTAACCAGCAGCTCTTCTGTTGGCCTTGTCCTTGTGCTAGGCTATCTATTCCTGCTCTCAGAGCTCATGGAAAGGACATTTTCTTGTTTCTCTTAGCATGGAGTTTGGTCCCCCAGAGTTGTTTTTGGAAGCAGGCTCCTGTTTTGACCCCAGCTCAACACCCTGATTTTGTTCCGCCCTACAAAAGTTTGCCTGAGCCCTGTTTTAGCCAAAGGAGAACCAGCAATAAATAAGATTTGAAAGGACTGACATAGGTGTCCATTATCCTTCACCGGAGGACTCTAAATGCTGACACACAACCAGGGCAGCTTAATGGAAATGAGATGTAAGAATTAAATGTGGAAGGTCCAAAACCTGTAGGCAATGTGGCTGTCAGCAGGCAGAATGAAACCTGTTGATGTTGATGTTTCAGCAGCTTTGCAAGTTTAAACTCTCTGCAAAAGGTAGAATGTCTTTATCCACAAGCCTGGTCCCTTGGGAATTATACTGTTATTTTAGTCAATTTCTCCTGACATTTCCCTATGATTTTTTTTCTAGTGACAAGAAAATTGTATCTGGCCCTTGACAGTTCGGCACAAATTGACTGAACAAAACAAAATCAAGCATTCAAGTAACCCCCAAGTAAATGTAATAAATCCATAGTCCCGGAGGAGAGCGTCATTCCGTAGGCAGGGATTTTATTTAATAAATTTCAGCCTGCTCTTTGTTTGAGCACTGTATTTACCAAGACAAATTTAATTTCTTGGTTTGCATTTCTTCTTCCCAAAGCTTGTCCAGCGGGCACGTATGGGCAGGACTGTCACGGAGTGTGCCAGTGCTCTGCTGAGAATCAGGAATGTCACCCTGTCACCGGCCACTGCTCCTGCAGCCCGGGCTACCATGGGGCCCACTGCCACCTCCGTGAGTATTCGGGGGGTTTCTGCCTTTCTGACAGAGAACTGAGTCTTGCAGGAAGCATCTGCTGGAGCTTTGGGTTCATCTATGTCATTACAGTGGTGACTGAGAGAAGTAGAGGCTAATTATAGTATAAAAGTTATAGTATTACAGATAAGTTGTAGTATAGGACATAAGCATAGAGTGGGTTAATTTACACTGAAGAAAAGTAGTTGTATTATTGCAAGTAATTAATTTTAAAATTTTTATTAAAAATTCTAAAAAATTAATTAATAATGTTAGTTCAAAAATGTAATTAATTCAATCCTTCAAATTAATTTTTAGACCCACCAGATTTACCAGCTAAATTCTTTCCAATCTCATGCAACACTAAAGAATGTAAAGATGATTCTCTGCATTGCATATCTCAGCTACACCTGGATTTTGTGCAGCTCTCTCATTTCCAAATACCAAGTCCAAAATACTTCCCGAAATCTCTGCGTGCTCAAGTAAGGACAAATGGTTATGAGAAAACAACAAGCTGAAATTGGCAATAAATCCAAGTGATTCATAAAGTCCTTTCAGTTACAGAGCCTTCTGAGGAACAATCAAATTAAACCAACTGTTACTCTGGATTGAAAAATGGTGACTAGTGTAGAGGACAAAATGCCAACTGGCCCAATGCTCTATCATAAAAAAATATTCCCAGATCCACATGGCTCATGCCGGTATTTTAGGACATCTGTAAAGTTGTTTTTGGTGGAATGTGGCAACTGATAAGAAACATATACCAAAGCAGCCAATAAAGGAGACACTTAATTACCCTTTATTTACAACTTTAATTTTGGTTTTACTCCACGGCTTGTAGTAGTCTCATTTAGAGGAGAAAAAAAGGCAAAAAAAGAAAAAGCTGTTGTCTTTCTTGCTCAGTTTCTCTTTGGTGAGTGCTGATTTCCATTTCTTGGGAATCCAGCACAGCTCTGTTTGGCTTAATTGCCTTTTGGGGCAACAGTCTGGATACAAAAGCCAGCTGTCACATGCACAGCTCTAGTAAGGGTTAAACCACTGTTGTATTCCTTGAGCAGAAATAGGAGAAAGACTCGCTTTAGAGATGGGCCTTTGTATTGCCATCACGTCATCACAAGTTATTCTTTAAAATATAAATTATAAATAAAATACAAAGGATTGATTCTCTCCTCCTCTGTGCATCAGTTTTTGCTGTAAGTGAGATCGAAATCTGGCCTTCAACATTGGGGCTGCGGCCATCTGGATCCATTATACATTAGATTATAATAAATGTTGTAGTAAAGCAGTAGTGGAGATCAACTATTTAACAGGATCATTTTAAAAGACTTAATCATGGTCAGCCTTTATGTAGCAATTTCTCAGTAGTCATTACCAGTGCGTGTAGCACTAAATCTCTCATTACAGTAAGCGTCCTCAAACTTACTTAGATACTTCAGGTTTTATTTCAGAATTTTAAAATTCAAAGCTTAAACAATTTCACTGAAGTTCTGATAGAAAAGATATAAAAAGACTCATTGCAAAATAAAATGAGGTTTGCTGAATTGAGGGGGGGATTTTTGCCATGCATTTCTGTGTAGCTGGGATTAAGCCTAAAACATACGAGATTTGAGGTTTCATGGTGTTTTGTATTCTGAGGTTTCAAAAATGTACAGAAAATTCTTAAAAACGTGTTTGTTAGACATTTATTGGAGAAATATTGAAATTATGGAAGTTCACAGAAAAATACTTATCTGTGTTGGTGTTGTTCCTATTGTCCCCTGTGCCATGTGTAGACAGACACAAAAATAAGAAGGAAAACAATTAATTGTGGGTTATTTTAAGTTCAGGTCAGTGGAGGGAGAGATTGTGGGCCTGATTCTGAAGTGACTGACTGAAAACCAAGGGTGGCTCGCGTGACTTTGGTGGGAATACTCCAAGTTCCTGCTGTCCTCCCTGCAGGGAAAGCTGGGGCTGCTCCAGGGTGAAGAAGCTCTGATAGAATATTAAACCAGCCCAGGGAGCCGCTCCCAAATGGGCTCTGGTCCAGTCAACATGTGGTTGGATGCTGCTGGAAGCAGTTTCTGGCAACTGTTGCTGTATTTATGAAAAAAAGGTTCAAGAAAGTATCTATAAAAGGTGTAGTTGGCTGGGAAGTCAAATTTCCAGGAGCCAAGAGCAACGGGGCTTTCATGTTCACAAATTTTGGAGTGAGGAGCTGAAAAAGTCTCTTGGCATGGTGCAGAGGAAGCAGACAAACTAGCAATAAGGTTCCCATCACTTGTCCATTACTTGGTGGATGGGCAGATCTACTTGTTAAAAGGAGTAAAAAGCAGTAAGTGGTGGTGAAGTTATTTAAAAAAAAAAAAAAAAGCATGGTATGTTTCTGTGACATTGACTGGGCTGGGAGTACCCAGAGCCAGAAAGATCTCACCAGCTTCACCCTCAAGCTGAAAGTGACAGGATGTGTCAGAAGGAATTATTTGACAATGCGATTTAATAGCATTAGTCAGAAAAGCCTCAGTGTGTGCAATTGCTATGGAAAGATTTAGGAACTCTTGGTCATGACAAACCCACTCAAAGCAGAAGGAAAATCAGGAAATGAGGTGGAAATCTGGCTGCCACTCTTTTGTTCACAGAAAAAGAAACATAAATCAGAAGCACAGGAAACTGTTAAATTAGAAAATATCTTTATGAGATAACTGGTGGTGCAAGAATAGCCCTATTTCCAAAGGCAGAGCCCACTGAAATGGTGGGACATGGTGCAAATTGCCCTCGTTATCTGCATCAAAATTCTTCTGCAAAGTACTAACAGATGAGGTGGCCTTGTTATTGGGCATGTGAACAGTGCAGCAGCTGAACATGCCCTGCATGTGCTGCTCCTTCCCAAGCCAAAATACAGGAAATACTGCAAGGACAAAGAATTTGGGAAGGAGGGAATTACTGCATCCCATTTATGGAGCCACTACTGCTAGGCTTGAGCTAAGGAGCAGCTCTGAATGCTTTCCCAGGGAGAAGCAGCATTTTTTGGAGTCTGGGAGACAGAATTTTTTTTAAAAGGAGAAAATCCAAATGATGACCAAAAGGAAAAGAAGGAGGAAAAGAGAAACTCACATAGACTAATTAAATCATTGAATCTGGATGAGTCCTTAACTTCAAGTCTTGGTGGGAATGAAGGGGGTGTTGCAGGGCTCACTCCTTGATGCCAGGGCTTGCACATGAAACAGATTTTGCATCCTGGCAGATGAAAGCACTGATGACAGAGCATTCATTGAGAAGAATCTGTGTTTGGGAAAGGCTGGGGAGAGAATCTGCACATTATAAAAGCATGTATCTGCTTAGTCCTGATGATCTGCTACCCTGGTTTGAGCAGAGGCCAACATTCAGTTCTATTTTAAAAGGCACCCCTTCAAAGCTTCCCATAAGCTCTCCCTCACTATTGAATAGCTCAGAAAAGCCAGAGATTTCTCCAGCCACTCAGGCCCTGCTTTCGTGCCTTCAGGAAAGACAGAATACATGAAGTTATTTATGCACAGATTGCAAGGGATCTGTTGCTTGGAGACGTGAGCAAATATATTTTCCACCAGGTTTCTAAAGTAGCCACAGACTTTCCTTCTGCCAGGGAAGAGAAGGAAGGGGTGAGCAAAGAAATGACATTTAGAGTTAGTAGCACAAGTGGAACTGTTGGATGATGATCATGCTGCTTGAGCACCAGCTACTCCTTCTTCCACTACACTGGGAAATTAGGAGAATAACCTGCATTTCTAGAGTTCAGAGGTGGCACACTGCAGGTTCACTGGTGCCCGTGCCCAGCAGCTCTGCCCAGCTCTTCCCCTCTGTTCCAGCCTCCATCACTAAAGATCATCCAGAAGATGTAAACTGAGCTAGCAAATGCATTTACATCTTCCTGATCTTTTGTTCAATTCTCCTTGAACATTAGCTGTCCAAAAAGTAACCAGAAATCCTCTCTACCCCTGGAAAACCTCTCCACAGACAGTTTGTTGCCATGTAACACTGGCTCAGCAATCCATCCAGGTGTGTGATGTTGTGGTTCTTACAAAATACAGCTGCTTTTTTTCACCTCAGAGAATTTTCTAGCTTTTCATTTAAATAATGTTCCTCCCATATCTATCTTCTGAGGAGGTGTCTTCTGAAATTCTGTGTTGCTGCCATGTGCACATTTTCATGGTCTTCCATCCACAGGGTTGGAAGGGAGCTTAAAGCCCATCCAGTTCCAGCCCACCTTCCATGTTGCTCCAAGCCTTGTCCAACCTGGCCCTGGACATTTCCAGGGATGGGATGTTGTGATAAGACACGAAATGATGACACAGACACTGCTGCTCTCGAGGGGAACAAAAAGAAGAAGAAGAAGAACTTTATTTTCTGACTCCAACATTTATAGTTTTCCAAAGGTGACAGTGGATTGGAGGGTGACAGTGCCCCCTCTCCAATGCCACTGGACAGACCAAGGGTCCATCAATTCTCTCCGTCTCCATAAAAGAATGCAAAACATAGGTTATTTACAGAACTGTGTGTGAGAAAGTTTGTTGAAAGAATGCAAACATCAGAAGGCTTAACAAAGTCTTACAAAATCAAGGCGACATGGGGAATCCACAGCCTCTCAGGGGAACCACTAACAATGCCAGCTCCAGTTTGCAGGGAAGCAGTAGATCATAGAGGAAACAAACTTTCTCCAATTTACACATTTTAAGAAGACATGACCTACCCCACATCCATGAAACATCTGCTAAAAGAGGCAGAAATGGCTCACAGCTTCTCACTGACTTGGACAAACCAGGTGGCTGCTGCCCAAAGGAAGAATTACCCCATCTCTCCTGTGTAGGAGAGGAAGAGGGAATACATTCATTTGGAACAGAAATCCCAAGAGGAAAACCTCTGCAGAACAGTGCTTGCTTTTCTTGCTACTGTCACGTAAGGGAAATGGGAGAGCAGAGAGCCAGGAGCAGCAGCACTCAGCCCAGCTCTCCAGCATTTGACAGTGCAATCAGAGCTGTCCCAGGGGCACTTTGTCCCAGGGAGCTACCTGCTCTTCAGTGCCTACTACTGGAATGACCCTCTGGAAGTGAATAACATTAGAAAATGAAAATCAAACTTTGAAAGCAACAAAGTGCTTAGGACATGAAATGCAACAGGCCCAGTAGCAACCTAACCTAATTGCTGGGTATTTTTTTCTTTTAAAACAGGGTGTCCAGAAGGTACTTATGGTTCAAACTGCCAAAATCCCTGTAAATGCATGAACGGAGGCCACTGTGACCCCGCGTCAGGAACTTGTGATTGCGCTCCCGGTTTCATCGGAGCCAACTGCAGCAAAAGTAAGCCAACATTCATGTTCTGCTTCTGTCAAAACACAGCAATGAGAATCATTTGCATAAGAGCTTGTCTGAAGAAAAACAGACAGATCCCAGCTACCTCTTCCTTGAATTGTAAATCAGGATTCCAGCTTTGTAAAAAAATCTCTTGCAAAATATTTTCCCTCACTGCTGCATGCATAGAAGCAAGGACACTTACCCCAGGATTGCAACCTGCTTGCCCAAGTTTATTTCTAGAGCCAGCTCAGCATGAATTGCTCAAGTTCCTTCTTCCTGTCCAAAATTTCGAGGTTGAGAAATTATCTCAATATTTTGCTTCACACTATGGTGCCATTAGTTTCAATAAATGGGAAAAAGATCAAGTTTTGTCATGGCAAAACTGGTAAAGACTCCATGGCAACCCCACTGTTACTTCTGTTTCAGAGCTAAATGGTGTGGCTGAATTTCTGTGCTGCTTCCAAAGCTCTGGTCTCTGTGAAGTTCTCTTCAGCTTATTCACTGAGAGGCAATGTTTGAATGTTTGGCTGCCCATAACTTTGCTCTTCATTGCTGGGCAGCATCAGTATCAAGGAAGGAAAGATGTTTTAAGCTGGAAGGATGAGCAGTTGATATTTCACTCTTCTGATATGAAAGACAGTAAATATTCCATGTGAAATCATGGGTTACATTTATAATCACAAGTAGTCTCAGAAGGTAAAGCAGTCATGTCTTTGGGTGGGTTTTGGCTTCATGGTTGATGCTTTGAAGCACATTAGGGGTAATAAAAACAAAGCCAGCTCTTCCCCTAAGATTGTAGCTGTGTTAAAAATGAAAACTGCCATTGGATCCTGTGGGTGTTTAACAAATCCTGTGTTCCCTTCAGCCTGCCCTGAGAGCTGGTATGGGAAGGACTGTGCCCAGCCCTGTGCCTGTGGCAGAGGCCGGTGTGACCCACGGACTGGCGAGTGCGCCTGTGCCCCCGGCCACACGGGCCCCGCCTGTCAGCAAGGTAACAAAGCAGGACCAGGTCACCTCGCCAGTGGGAGACACACTGAAAATACCCAGCAAATAAATTCAGTGCCAGACATTGTTCACAGCCACGTTGCCCAGGGCCTTTGCTGATAAGGCTCTGTCCCTCCCCGCTCCGTCACCCAGCCTAATCCTGCCCACACCTCCCTGCCACCCTCTGGGGCACTGGGTTCTCCAGGAAGCTGAGGGGATATGTCAGGACAGAGTGTTTGAGTGACACTGATAAAAGTCATGGAGTAGTGTCCCACCACCCTAAGGAGACCCTAATCACTTGGGATACATGTGGGGAGCATGTGTTTGTATTTATTCCCTGTCGCCTTCATCCTTTCCTTGGGGTGCTAATTTTTGGGTTTTTTCAAACTTTGTTAATTCTCTGTAGTGTGTCCCCAGGGACAGTATGGCCCCAACTGCCACCTGAGGTGTACCTGTCAGAATGGTGGCATCTGTGACCACGTGGATGGCAACTGCACCTGTGGGCTCGGCTGGACAGGCAGATCCTGTGAGGAAGGTGATTTCCTGCTTCCATGGCAGTGGATTTGTACACTCAAACTGGGGTTTGCAGTGTCCCCAGACACCTACAGACAAGGACAAACAGTCTCAGAACTGCCCCTAAAAAGACAGTTTCCTCCTGAGTCCTGCTCATGAATTCCCTTCCACACTCCTTATTTCTTCTTCACTCCATTATTTCTTCTCTAGTCCAACTTTTGTGCTCTTTTGTTCATAGGAATGCTGGGTTTTGTCTTTCTTCTTCCATGTGATCTTCAGAGCAGGAGAAGCCTGTGTCTTGCTCCTCACTGGTTGTGTTCTCTTTCATTTGACTCTGAACTGGAGTTGAGCTTCCCATGTGTTGACTTCCCAGATGTTCTGACAACATCTATCCAAAGCAATTTAGACTGTCCTGCTCTCTCACCCTTATTCTCCATGACACCTCTCCCTTGTGCAAGACAAAGCACACTAACAGAATAAGCTCATATCCTACTCCAGAATATCTCTGTCAGTACCTCTCCCTTGTGCAAGACAAAACACACTAACAGAATAAGCTATCCAGATAAGCTGGATATCCTACTCCAGAATATCTCTGTCAGCCCAGTCTTCCCACAACTGTCCTGTCCATCTCCCAAAAACCATTCTGCATTTCTGTGCTCCTATTTTCTCTGTAGGTAAGAGATATCTGTATAGTTATGGACTTGAATGTTCAGGAAACCACAAGTTTACTGGTATGGAATATAAATAAATAGTTCTAAGTACACATTCAACACAAATGTCATAATTAAATCATAACTGCCATGGCTCAATCCCCCAGATTCTCATTTACAGCATTTCTGTTCCTGACACCTCAAATATTCACCTCAAACTCCATATGTATCTATACCAAGATATATATGTTACAGGGGAGTGTCCCTATATATGTGTCATCTAGAAATGCCACCTTTCAGCAGCATTCTGAGATTCAGTTGTTCCATTCTGCACCTGAGGAGACTCAGAGTCCTGCTGTGCATCTGTGTGCAGAGGAGGAGCAGGGAGGAAAGGAAAGATGCAGCTGCTCACAGTGTGAGTGCTCTGAGGATTCAGTGGGCAGTGAATGTTCTCTGGGCACAGACTCTAAAACATTTGCAGTTAACCAACATCTGGCTGACCTAGCAAAGGCCACCTGTGGTCATCTCCATTTGCCTGTTCCTCTAGTCACCCATAGGCTGAGTTGGGGCTGCCAAGGCTCAGCAGAGTGGTGCAGGTGTCCCCACATTGAGTAGTGGATTGTGGGTGTATCTCATAGATAAAACATCTCTGGAGTGGAGCACAGGTGGCAGACATTCACACACTGTGTAAGGAACTGTGTGTTGTATCACTAGAGAGAGCTTCACTATTTATCTTTTGACAGAGGGAGTGAAGTTATTGGAAAATTGAGTCTTGATCTCCACAGTAGTGTGGGTTTGAGTGTGTTGTGACTGGAAATCAAAGACAGCTAATCAGGCATCCTTTTAATAGAGATTAGATATGATGTTCCTGGAAGATCCTGTCTGGCATTTGCTGGGTTCTCAATCTGATTATTTGGATGGCCACGCTCGTTTAAGTTCGTCTGCCCAGATTCAAATTATCCCAGCAGTGGGAAGTTAACTTATTCAGAGATGATGCTGAGGTTAATTATATTGGCACAGTCCCTTCTGCATGACTTGGCTTTTGGTAATTTGAGACGTGTTTAGTTCTGTAAAAGCAGATAGCTCATTATACATGGACAGACTGTTGCTATGTGTGAAAAAGATCCTCCTGGTTTTATTAGGAATTCGAATAGTGTGAACTCCAATGATAACACAGAGGAGGAAAAGCTTCATGTTTTCTTTCACACTTTTTAAGTGCCTAAAAGAAAATATTGCTGTAGATGAAGAAAGAAAAAAGAAAATCTAATTTATGCCATTCACTACAAGGCTTTACAACACACGGTGAGGGTTCAGCATCGAGTCTGTGAAGAGAGAAATTGAAAAAGGCAGACTGTTAAAACTGGGGAAACTGCTGTTCAAACATCTATATAGCATAAAAGATTTCTCACCAAAGTATGTAAATGCATCATAGTTGTGCAGAAATCCTGTGTCTTCATAACAAATATTCTTTGGTCTGCAAATTATTCTCTGGGTATCATCTCTGGGCAGTGCAATCTATCACGTACGAGCTTTTCTGGGTGAGGGCAGTGATTGTTTGTTTGATTGTCTGTTTTTCTCTCCATGTCCTGCCAGCAGAGTGCCTCCCAGGAAAGTATGGGGCTGGCTGCTCCCTGGACTGCCTGTGCCAGCACAATGGCACCTGTGACAGGTTCACAGGGTGCTGCAGGTGCCCCGAGGGCTTCTACGGCCACTCCTGTGAGCACAGTAAGTGCAGGCACTCGGGGTAGTTGTCACAGGTTTGGGGCTTCAGAGGAGTCAGGAAACACCTCACTGGTTCAGTTGAAATTTTGGAGACATCCCAGATCATCCAGCTCCTTCCAGATCTTGCATGTCTCTGATGCTGGGTGGTACAAGTTTAAAAGCCCATGGCGTTATTTGAGTTAAGGATAAATATAATTTTTTGTTGGCTGCCAGCAAATGTCACAGAGAATACAGAGGGTTTTAATGGTGTGGATGATTTTCTCCATGAACCTTCTTCATTTTAATTTTTCAGGGTGCCCCCTGGGATTTTATGGGCTGGGCTGTCTTCAGACCTGTGCCTGTAAAAATGGAGCGAGCTGTGATGCAGTGACAGGACAGTGCCTTTGTCCTTTGGGTTATCATGGTATCCACTGTGAAAAAGGTACTGGTACACCTCTGATGGGAAAGAAAAAAGAAAAAGAAAAAAAAACAACCCATGGAAAAAAAAAAAAAAACCAAAACAAAACAAACAAAAAAAACCAACCCAAAATAAAACAAACCCCAAAACAAAACAAAACAAAAAAAAAACTCATATAATTACTGAAATATTTGTTGAGAGCCACTTCTTCCATATTTTGAGCTTAATGAATATACTGAAACACTGAATTTGGGGCAGATTTCCTGTTATACAGCTGGGTGTTCCCATTCCCTTATAAATTAACTAATCTGGTTCCAATTAGTACAGTGAAAGTCCTGGTCTCCGTGATGTCTTGCAGCAATGAGTTCCACATGCCATTTATTAAAAATAAGTCCCTTTTACTGTTTCTAAATTTGCTTCTAAAACTCCAAATAAGATAATTAAATAGGTGCATGTCAAACCTTTTGAGAGTTACGGAGAGGTCTTCTTGAGAGTTCTAATTAAAAATAAAAATAAGTGCCAGCTACATTTCTGGGACAGATTTACAGATACCTTTGAGAAGTTAGATTAGACAACCCCAACAGAAGGAGAGCTCATATAAATATTGTGCCCATTCCACTATGTTTGATTTCTTCATTGAGCTTGGCATTTACACTGATTTAATTTATGAGCTTTTCCCTGAGACATCCTGGGAAAACTCTGGGTTAAATGTACATCTTGCCACTCAGACATGCATCTAAATTGTTCTCTTGCTGTCAGGCTGTGCCAGGGGCTGGTTTGGTGAGGGCTGCCAGCATCAGTGTGACTGTGGAGATGCTCCTTGTGATCCAGAGACTGGGAAGTGCCTTTGCCCACCTGGGAAGACTGGAGACAAATGTGACAGTGGTAAGGGCAATATTTTTAAGGGCTGGACTGTGTATTGTTAAGCCACTCTGACCTGTTGGTTTTAGAATAACTGTAAAAGGACATTTGATGGTGTTCAAGAACACATTGTTTGTAGAAAATTGCTCTTTGTGGTTATCAACACCTTTATCAGCAGGCTTGTACCTCTTGATTTAATCAATATTTAAATTGATATCCTGATAGGAAAACTGTTCATGGGTCAGCTGTAAAATGTCATTTGCCTTGAGTTTTGCAGAACACAGGCTGGGGAAGAATAGACCAAAAAGTTTTGCAAATGTAGTGGGGAAGACTCCAGAGGGTGCAACTGGACACCAAGGGCTCCAATTGCTGCGTGCTTTGTCACACTGACATTTGTGACCCTTTTCAGACCACTGCTAAAGTGTGTCCAGCCCTGGATTTGCTTCCCCTGGAAGCAGGATGGAATCCCCACAAATGAGGGTATGAAGCTGCAGCAGCTGTGCTTGCCCAGGAACTTTTAACCCAAATGTAATTCCCTCCTTTGCAGCACAGGCACTTGGGCTGTGTGTTGGCCCACAGGAGCAGAATTCTTCTGTAACAAGGATATAAAAATAGGTGAGAAATTTTTCCTGTAGGGAAAACCAGCCCCACTGCTGTACCCTGGTGGGGTTGGGTGCAGGGTTGAGAGGCAGCAGTGGCAGATTCCTGAGCCAGGCTCTGGTCACAGCTGTGGCTCTGATCAGAGCTCAGGGCCAGGTTGGACAGGGCTCGGAGCAACCTGGTCTGGTAAAAATTGTCCCATGCCTGTGGTTGGAACCACATGGGTTTAAAGATCCCTTCTAATCCAAGCTATTCCAGGATTCTGTGATTGTGATGGAGCAGCTTTAGGGTAATCACTGGAGTAAGAGGAATTGCAGTGGTTTAACTGAGTGTCAGAAAACACTTGTGATACCAGTGCTGTGACAAACAAGATAAAAAGGGGTGAACATCCATGTGCTGCTGTGGAGCTTCACCAGGAACCAAAATCCTCCTGAGCTCCTGGAGCAGAGGGGGAAAATTATTTCTCTTTTTGTTCTGGGATGGGGCAGAAATAGATTTAAGCAGGCTGTTATTAATACAAATTGCTGTGAGCTTAAGCATTAGTGCAACTTGCAAAACTAAAATGGAAAAGCATTTGATTCCCTCTGGGCAGTGCCCTGTGGTCAGGAAATGAAGGTCCCAGTCTCCAGCACTGTTCCAGTGGGAACATGAGCCACCCTCAGTGCCCACACAGCACTGGGTGTCCCTGGGCCTTTCCAGTAAAACTTTAGGCAGAAGTGGAACGCAAGGGGGAAGTTAAGCACCAAAAATGGGAATTGAGGTTTTCTTCCTCACAAACTCTGTGAGTCATTTTTATTTTTCTTAAATCAGCTAGGGTAGCCCCCATCCACGAAAAGCTGTTATGGGGTAGGTTTTATTTGCATTTTTATTTTCAATTAGGCTCAGTTCATCTGTGATATAACTGTGAGCAGCTGTGACTGTGCAGCAGCCATAAAGATAAAAGGCCTGATTTTAATTTGAACTCTGGTAAAGCACCCATTAAACAGGCAAAATGTTAATTAAAAAAAAAAAAAGAGAGAGAGAGAGAATATAACAGACTTTTATGGGCGTTCTTTTTCTGTAGTAAATTAACATTGCAGACTTTCAAACAGATGTCTTAAATACACATTGTTATTAACATGAAAATGTGGTATTACATAAATTAAAATCAGGTCCAGAGGTGTTTGGGGAGACCTTTTCTCATAACATTTCCTAATTGAAAAGGCCAAGCTCAAAGCGCACAGGGCGAGTTCTCCACGTGCTGGGGCTGCAGCTGATGCAGAGCTCAGCAGGACTTTAATTACCTGAGGGTGCTCATGGGAGAAGGCAAATTCCCTGGTTACAGGGTTTTCAGTGAGGTGAGGGAGAGAGGACCACTGTTGGCTGCATGTTTCACACCCTGCCTTGTGACCCTGCTGCTCACTTTCCTTTCCTGCCTGTCCTCTGATGCTTAAAAAATTGCAGTGAGGATTTACTAACCTAGATATGAAATGTATTTACATTTGGAAGTGAGATTTTTTTTTTTTTGGTGAGTTTAATTTGCCGGGATGCAGCAGAATTGTGCAACCAGAGCAAGACACGTATATCTATATAATGGATTAATTCTCAGTGTCACGTTCTGTGAGGGGAGGCTCTTGCCCAGCACGTACTGACAGCCCAGCCATGCAGGATGGGGAGAGACAGGGGCAGGAGATAGTGTGGATCCAGGATGCTGACAGCAACTTTCCTGAGCAGATCCCAAGATGTTCTCTGTTGGGCTGTCAACCCCTGTTTTTACACCAGCAATGATTTCCACTCTGGGAACTCTTCAGGACAGCTGGGCTGCAGCTTGGGCAGAGCATGTGGCAGACGAAACTCGACAACAGCCGCGCTTTCCCAAATGTCATGTCTGAATGTGAACAGATGTAGGTCTGAGCAGCTTCCTGATCCCACAGAAGGGGGAGGCTGCCAGGAGTGCTCACCCTGTCCCAAACCCTCCTGTCCTTGCAGGGTGCAGGGCAGACAGGTACGGCCCCGGCTGCTCCCTGCGGTGCCAGTGCGCCGGCAGATCCCGCTGCAATCCGCACAACGGGAACTGCGCCTGCCCCAGCTCCTGGATGGGGCCAACCTGCAGAGAAGGTAACCAGCCTGGGGGTGCAGCCTTTCCTGGTGGGATAAAACACCTCTGGCCTGTGTTTGGATGGGAGGGTCAACCCGTTGGATTGTTTGGATAATTTCTCTTCTTAATGAAATAGAGTACGGAGGGAAAGTTTCCTCTCACTTGTAGTGTAACCACAATTCCTCCTTTAGTTTAGGAAAAACTTTGGGAACCTTCTGATTTGGAGGTGTTTTATAGTTTTGCCTGCTCTCTGCCTCTGTGAGAGGCTGTAACTCCCTCCTCTACCTTCTTTTCAAGGTTACCATTTATTGAATTATTTAAGTGTAAATTGTATAATCTATATAATATTTCAGTATTAGGTTATATGGACCTGAAACTGTGTTTCTACTTAATTCTCTAGGTGGCCCTCCAAAGCTTCCTTTTTATGAAGAACAAGCTCAAGAAAGAGGGAGTATTTTTCCAAGAGCTCTACAACAGTAACATTTGGACTAATAAATGAACTGTTTTATATGCACAGACGGTATTTGAATTTGGATATGAAAACAGTTATTCAATTCAGCTTGAATTGTACTGAAGTATTCACACTTCTTATGGAAGACTACAGAGGCCATTTAGTAGCTGGATCCTTTTAGAGTTGAATCTGTTTCATGTGCTCATTCCTAGCCTCTTGCCCCTCCATTAATCTACTCTGGACATTCTTTCTGGTATTAATATAATTCGTTTCTTGAAAGCCTGGACATGTTTTTAATCAGACCAGCTCCAAAGAGTATCAGGATAAGCAGCATGTAGCACATCACCATGGAATGAGCCACACTCCCTAGCGGGGACTTTCTAAACCCACTTGACAACCAGCACCAAGTCTGAAGAGTATTCCACTGATTATTTCTCTACAGATTCATAGCAAAATCACATTGCACAGCAACTAGAGGGATTCATCAAGTTAATTCCTCTTTGAATGAAATGGTGTGTTCTAGAGAAGCATGCAGTCTAATTTTGAACTTGCAGCTGAAGAAGAATCTGCTACAATCCCACAAGAGTCCTCAATACATTGTTAATTTATTTAAGAGCGTCTTCTGCATTTCTGGTGTGGTTTGACTGACTGGAAGGTCTCTGTCTGAATCTGTCTTCCAAAGAGTGTGGTGTCGTCTGCCAGACTCTCCTGGCATCCTGTGTTCTCACATCTTACCAGATGAATTTCTCAGTGGGTTGTCAAGCCAAACTGTGCAGCACTTCTCATCAAAGAGTATCTGCTAATACAGAAGAGGTTTTATCTTGAATGGAAAAAGCAGATAGTAAGCAAGGAGAAATGCTTAAAGATACTATCTTTGGGGTTTGTGCTTTTATTGAGCAGTTTGGTTTTTTTATCAAGTCTCACAGCAGTCTTGATACCATTCAACAGCTGCTAGTGGCCACCTCATAGAGCAGAGACATTTTGGTGCTATTTTGTTTGTTTAGACAGGTTTTTCTTTGATGTAGAACTAGGTCATTTTAAAGAAATGTATGTTCTGTATTTTAATATTCTGTTAACCAGAACTAAAATATTTCAGAGTGCCTCTTTATACCTCTCTTTAGGTTAGGAGTTTCAAAATCTGTGTAGTAACCACTTGATTCTGACTGTATCCAAAGTGCACTTAGGGAGCATCAGAACCATGGTAGACACAGAGTATGGGCAGTTCCAGCTCTTGTGCTGACACTCCATTCACTGCCAGAACAAACTGCAGCTCTGCAAGAGCAGGTTTTTGTTGTGCAAGAGGCAAAATGACAATAATTGATGGTAACTTGGGGTTTTTGAAGAAGTTTGTAGTTGCGGTTGGGTAGTGATGAGTTGGTGAAGCAGGATCCAGGAGGTTGGATGGGAAGGTGAGGTAACAATTTTCCCCCATGGTTCACCCCAGGTCTTAAACACATCTGCAGTCAGTGACTGTCCAGACCAAAGCAAGAGGCACTTGCTCCCCTGGGAGTTTATTTCAAATTGTGATCTATGGGAGGCAATACAGTTTTAAGAGGTGTTGTCCAAGCTTCATGGAAGTCTTACTGTTGTTATTCATCACTTTGTAGGTATTGAAAGTAAAGGTATTTGTGAATGTGTCAAAATTAATTAACTAACTGTGCTTTCAGCCGGAAAATCACTGGAGCTGATGCTGATCCCTTTTAATTTCTTCTGTAGAGCTCAATGAATGTCACTGGAAAGTTCATTCAATGTAAATGTGGCAAAATTATGGTCCCAGAAGCGTGTGACTCTCAGCAAGGCAATGGCATTTTAAATGTTCTTTTGGAGGTGTGATGGCCTGGGTCTGATCCTACAATTATGTGAATTTGGGGCAGCTTCATTGAACAGGAACCTGCAAGATAAATCTTCTGTGAGACAGTGAGATATAACCTTAGCAACTGCTGGAGAAGAACAATTCAAGTTTAGCAGTTGACATATTTTGGTCTTAGCCCTGCATTTACTGCAGAGCCAAACTACAACAGTAGTGCAGGTGTCACACTGTACTTCAGATTTTTTTGTAGAATCATTGAGTAAAGCTGTAGAAAACCTCTGAAGGTCTGACCCTCCCTTTAAAGCCTGATCAACTTCAGAGTCAAATGGGTCAGATTTTCATCATTCAAGTCAAATTTCAGAGATTCATCCCACCTAGTTTTAAATATCTCCAGGGATGGACATCCCACACCTCTTTGAACCTGTCCTAGTGGACATTTCATTTTCTTCCTTTTTATTATTTTTTTCTTCTTTTTCTGGTCTCTAATCAGAATTTCTTCAGTTTCATCTTTGTTCCACTGCTTCTCATTCTTTCAGTGTGGATCTCTGAGGAGGCTTTGGCTTCCTCTCCCCCACAGCCCCCATGGGGTAGCTGGCTACAGTCTTGTTCTTCTCTTCACCCCATCCACTGGCCACATTCCAGTACCTCAGACATTCCAGTTCCTTCCAGCTGCCCAGAGACTGGTGTGGTTACTCAGCAGCATAAAACCCTTTTTACTGCTGTCAGACAGCAGAATGTATCAAATGTACTGTTATTCTCTTATTTTTGTAGATTGATGTGTGATTCGAGCAGCTAATCAAAGGGGAAACCTCTCTCAAGCCATATTATTTACACCCATGTATACTTGTTTACATTTTCCACAGTACCTTGATAATAGAATTGTAAATATGTAGTATAAGGAAATAAAAGATTTTTGTATTACATGTTTTTAAAGGATGTCACGAATTTAGGTACATGATGAAACATATTTTAAATGACTGTTACTGAGCCTGTGCCAATGAATTAAGAGGCCCAAGTAGATCTGCTTTGGGAAATATTTCAGCAAACTTTTTTTAAATCAAAAAATGCCAGTTCATACAAAGCACTCCATATGCAATAGACTTTTTTATTCAAAATGCTTCTTAGCTTCTTTATGTTATTACCTTTGGAAAAGAAGTTCACTTCAGTGCCATCAAACAGACCATTCTGATTTGTGGCTCTGCATGGCTTTTTGTTCCAAAACAAAGTGCAGTCATATACAGGTAAAAATCAGAATTAAAGATTTCAAAAACATTAAAAGAGGAATTTTGATTGAGATAGTTGGAATGTCTTATCTTGGTTCTTATTTTCTTCATAAGGCAGAGAATTTTTACAGGATTTTGTTTTCTAGAAGAGCTGCAACTTTACATTTTTAACTACTAATTAAGGAAGTTTGCCTTCTTCTGATTTTACTGATTATATCTGATTATAATCAGATTGTTCTGATTCTGCTCCTTGCTATGGTTTAACACATTTACTTAACTCCTTGCCTACAAAGTAGTCTTTATTAGACAGGATGGAATTTTTTAATGGAAAATAGACTAAATCAGCTTTTCCAGAGATTAATTTTGTGGCAAGTGAGTGTAGTTGCTACTAAATTAACACAACTCTGCTTATTTCCTTCATCAGATTCCAGTGAAAGAGTGTCAGGCTGATCCAGTCCTGAGCACAGCACTGGGGCTTGTTGATAATGGAGTGAAAAATTCAGTGAAAATGGGGTTTATAGTTAAATTGATGTCCATCTTCCTCTTGGTGTAGACTTTTGCTGGCTCCCCACTTCCCAGGGGGCTGAAGTTAATTACATTTCCTTGAAGAGAGAGCTCTGTGTATTCCTCTGCAGCACACTTACACGTGCAGATAACTCCTTTCAGAAAGACATTGGAATTATTTCAGCCGTGCAGCTCCTGTGCCAAATCCCCTTCTCTTACCTTGTGAGCTCCAGATAACTTCAGCTGGAGTGGGAAGGAGTTGAGTGTAACTCAGTGGGCCCAGCAGAACCTCACTCACTGTGAATTCATGAAACCAGAACAACATGTTTTAAGTTAGACTTCACTAACACTATCCTCATAGGAAAACAATCAGAATTTAAAAAATTCCCCGCTTCCCCTGCCAAAAATTATTATTCTACTTTTATCCTTTTTATGTTGAAGAACCATAGCTATTAAAGTTTGCCCAGATTCCTTGCCAACCATATTATTTTGATTGGCTGCAGGTTTCTGTTTGTGTAAGTAATAACCAGCATAGTGTCAGGAGTTGCCAACGGGACAAACATGGAAATAATACCTTCATGTCCTTCCCAGAAGAGGCAAAGACATGTTTGGGAGCCATCATGGCTTCATTGTGCAGATCAAACAGTGCCTCTCTTAGAATTAACTTCTTATCAGAGCAAAGTAAAGCTTAGGAACAATCTTTGAGAGTGCTGGTGGACCAAGAAGGCTCCATCCTCCCATCCTTGTGTTAATATTTTATATTTAGGCTAGAAACCTTCTCAGTCCCCAGGTTTTGAAGGACTTTTCCTTCAGGTTGACCTGTGGCTGACTGAGCAGCTCCGTGCATGGGCTGCAACTGTGCCCAGTAATTCTTTTGCAAGGTCACAGCTTTAAGTTTTGACACTGTGTAAAGCAATTTCCAGCAGTAAACACCAAATCTCAGCCTTGTGGAGCATAAATTGTTCTGTTCTTTTTATTGCCTTTAATAAGCACTTGCATAGCAATATAATGTCTCTGTGAATTTGTAATCCCTCTTCAAGAAATGTGTGGGATGTATCTCGGGTTTGTACTGTACTTTCTGTTGTAGACATGTTGTAGTGAAAGGATGCTGATTTTTTTTTTTTTTTTTATATATAAACATGTCATTAAAACTTGGTCTTGATTTTCTCTCATTGCTAGTCTTGAAGCAACAGGCTTATGTTGTGGATGAGACTTTATTCTACTGAACTAATTCACATTCAGAGCAAACAGGCTGAAATCACACCTGCTTTTGGTTGTTTGTGTAGAATAAATAATGGCCTGTGCCCAAATGGGTTTGTATATGATCCCTGACCAGGGCAACCTGGCCAGTGACTGAGCCTGACAAATGGAGCTTGCTGGCACTCAGACTCCAGAGTATTAGAAATATTCAAAACACAGCGTAAATCTTGCTGCAAGAGGATGGTTGTGAAGTGTAACATTTTGGAAAGACTTGGGCACGGAGTGCTTTGAAGGCATTTGAAACCACACACCTGCAGGCTCCCACCAGCCTGCTTGGGCACTTCCCAGAGCCCAGTTCTGCCAACAACTTGCCTGGTTCACCTTCAGGGTATTGTCTTCTTGCATTGGCAGGAGCTGAAGGAACATGTGTGCCTGCTTAACGCCAAATAATGCAGTAGGAGTGTGCTGGTTAATTGGAAGTAGCAGACTAAATTGAATTCAAAATGTGTAACAAAGGGGGAACGGTAGATCAAGCTGTCAGAGAAAAAGTGGAC